CCCTACTCGATGTTTTGTTTATTCTATTATAATATGTTATTTGTCTTAGTTTACGGTTTGTTTAGCGTCAATTTAAAATTTAATACTTTAAATAAGGAACTTAAAAGCTAATTTTAATATTAACTTTTTATTTTTTAATTACTCATATATATATATATATAACTACAACGTTAAAAGGTAGTAATGGTAGAGTATTTTTTAAAAAGAAATAACTACACTCAATAAATAAATGTCTTATTTTACTTTATTCATTTCATCATAGAAACTTTAGTTAGGTATTACCGAATATTAAATTAGATAATAATATTATAGTACTATAACTGTACAATAGTTATACTTACGATACATAAATGATAATTATAGCAAATAATAGGTACTGCCGTATGCGTCTCGTATTACTATTATATATCACTCAACTGGCTAGTAATATAAGATGTAGAATTGATGTCCTAATTATACATACAAGTACACGTATATTCTATGTTCAAATATAGAAATTGCCGTAACTTTCACACACAATAAAGCAAATTAATATATAATTGTAGCTACAATTTTGCAGTCATGAATGTGAACCTGCCCCCGGTCAGACAAGTTTCGTTCGTTACCTAATACCGTTGCGTAAAGATTTGGACGAGTATTCACGTAGTGGTGAACGAATATGTTAATACGATGCGAAGTTCCCACACATTAACATATATCTATAGATACTCGTACACAGACGAGCTACGAATAGAACACGACACGCTTAATAGTGCAGTTTGGATGTAGTGTCTGTCACATTACATTTGTGCATAAATTAAGTACAAGGTTCTATCCCCTATCAGTCATTATTAATTCTTTGACATTAATAAATAAATGGCTTGATTCTAATAAATTGAAAATAAATATCGAAAAAACCAAATTAATGTATTTTAAACAGCGACTACATGATAGTGAAATTAAATTTGACATTAGTTACAATGGAAAAACTATTGACGAAACGACTACAACAAAGTTTTTGGGACTATACATTGACAATAAAATTAATTGGAAAACTCATATTGAGCATACATGTAAAAAATTAAGTCAATATGCATATGCTTTGTATATACTACGTAAAATTGTTAATATGGAAACAGTTTTATCGTCATATCATGCACATGTAGGTTCCTTATTGAGGTATGGCATACTGTTTTGGGGAAACTCTACTAATAAAGATATCGTTTTGAAATATCAAAAACGTTGCATACGGGCCATTTGTAATTTGCGAAGGCGGGACACATGCGTGCCACATTTTAAACAATTAAAATTATTGACAGTGCCTTGTTTGTATATTTATGAGTGTGCTAACTTTGTAAAAACAAATATTGATAAATTTAAATTTCGCACTAGAGCTCGGCATATTGATCAATTATGTGTAGTACCATCTAAAACAAAATTGATGAAGGACAGCATATTTTGTAAAGCTGTAATAATTTATAATAACTTACCAAAACATATACGAGGATTGACTGAGGTAAATGTTTTCAAAAAGAACCTTCATGATATATTAATAAATAAATGTTATTATAGCCTGGACGAATATATCAATGATAAAAATAAATAGTCATCATTTGTAAAAAATAATGTCTCATATAAATGTATTTTGTTTCACTGTATAATTTTAAATGTTATGTTTTGTATACTGTTAACTGTTCCATATATTGTACGCTTATATAGCAGGACATGGAGATACTATTTAACTCATGTAATACCTTAATTTAACCTATGATCCACAATAAAGTCTTTGTATTTGTATTTGTATTTGAAAAGTCTAATTTAGATTTACTATTTTTTTTATACACTAGATTTATTTTAATTTGCAGTTTGAATATTTATATGTCTTTCATTTTATATTTACGTAAATAAAGTCCTAGGTTCAATTGCCTGTTAGCCTAATTAAGGTTTATTTATTTTTATACTATCACTCCTATTCATTTCTAGTTTATCATAGAAATCAATAAAAAGTGATATCAACTATGAATAACATGAATACACTATGGCATCCATATCACGCACATTCGATGCAACTTGTGAAAACTTTTGTGTCAGAGGTTGTATTACATATCATATTTCATGTCAAGAAGTCTGTCACGATGGTATCAAAAATTACAATACTCTAAATATCAAATACTCAGTCCATTGTAGTGTTGTATAATTTATTATTATTGATAAAAGATAGACTTTCTGCAATCTCCTAATTTACGGAATTCTATTCGTGAATGCAGCTAAGCGAATATGCTCTTAACACGATTACACTAACATAAGACTATTCTTCCTCGTACTCTATGCTCTTTGTTTATTTGGTGTAACTGGACCTTTATGTACATTACAATATCAAACGCTAGATTGCGGAAAATAATACTAACAGGAAATAGAAAATATAAACATACAATAGGCATTATTTATTGCGATATCATACCTATTTAGTTGTTAGCGGTCGTAACAACTTTAGGGATAAATCATCATTTTTCTCTAAGTCCCCATCTTTTGCGCTACTGGACTTTCCGTAATATTCATATGTCAAACCAAAAATTTGTTACTAAAGTGCCTAACTCTGTTTTCTTATTGCTCTATACTCAAACACTATTAGTAAGACACAATAACGTACATACGAGTAAATACACATATTTCAATTATAAGGTTATTCGTTGTAAAGAAAAATGTAAAAAATATTTCTGAAAATAAATTACACTGTAATTAAATTTTAGAATGGAGAGATTATTTTCAGAACAGTATGTTCTCATATGTACATGTTCTATCCTACATATCCTATAAATATCTTAGACCTAATTCCTTATCCTTTCCAAATTCGCGTGAAATAGGTATTTTTATTATTACTGGTATTTTCCCGTTTTGTTTTTGGTAAAATATTCCAATATCGGGACGAATGCTACTAAAGAAGAAGAAGAAAAAGAAATTATAATCTCTGTTCATTTCTAAGAAACTCAGAGTGATGATTGATAGATTTTTATTCACCTAAAATAATTTAATAAATGATTAAACTGTTATAACGAAGTATAAAAAATAATTTAGTATTCAGTCTCCTAGAGTATTTAGTGTAAGAAAATAACATTGTAAAATAAATTTTACTTATCTTTGCAACATAAAGAACACCCTATTTTGTGTAAAAGATTATAAAGAGACATTATCACAGCTTTTGCATTTATAATAATACTTAGAATGTTTAGAAGGCATATAAATTTAATTTTGATACACCCAATATCAATATAATTTTTATGCACCCAAACAGGGTTCGTGTACTTACACTTCATAAGAACATTGTAATAACTTTATATTATTTACATGAATGCATTATAATAATAAATGAATCTAAAACTGTAAAATAACCCATATTCTACTTTTATTTTGTCGTTTCATAATAATAAGGTTCAGCCTCTATTCAAAAGTAAACTGTTACTCACGTACTCCATTACAGTTTTTAATATTACGCCCCAGTATAAAAGTCCTATTCCAATATATTTACTCTCCTTTCCTCATTGTAATCGAAGGCAGATAAGAGATTTTATCGACATTATACTGGCAATATTAGTTTCCATCGAAATTTATTTATTCTGGCCTGTTTCGTAGATACAAATATATTATTTGTATCTATTATTTGTACTTAAAAATAATAACAATAGAAATACCAACCATAGATTCCTATTCCTAAATGGGCAGACAGGGCAGAAATGTAGACTCATAGAAAATGACTCCTCAAAGATGCTTATAAGTTATTAAGTTTAATTTTTTTTTTTATTTTTATTAAACTTATTAAACTAATACTAACTCCATTAATCATAGACTTTACATTAAAGAACCTTCAGGCCAACTGGCCTGAATTCATCCTCAACTATTAGTGAGTTCCCTGTAATAAGATTTTTATTGAAAAAATTTTTGTTAAATCACAAAGGTGGCAAACTGTATGCTTGATACAACTCATTTAATGGTAAGTGTTACATATTCATATTTATATTAGTTATATAACTGGGCGATGTGAATTTATCAATTGTCGGAAACGACAAACAAATTTTAACAAAAAGGAGATAATGTGTAAAATAATTATTTTTCTATGTTATAGTGTGTAATTTTCGTAGTAAAATTTAAAGTTTATAAAAGTCCAACGTAATGATTTACATACGCTTAGACTACTCCACATAGCTGCGCCCACCACAGTTTATTACTATCCATGAAGCACTACTACTCGTATGTATTGGAAAAATGTTGGCCACACATGTTCATAAAATCTACAACCTGCAATTCTATAGTGAAAATTCAACTCTATTTAATCGCCGGTCTTTCGTAGTTCTTTATTTTATGTTTTTTAATAATTTATCTATATAGAGTTTAATTAATATTTGTATTTTTAAATAATTGAATATTTATATTTTTAAATAACACAACATTAACAAAAGAAATATCTAATATCAATTTATAAGCAAGTGTTTTCCTGCTCAAGTACAGGTATAATCAGCAACAATTCAATAACTTTATGTAGATTCGCTTTCGAGCAATGAGGCTTTTTAAAGATTGCAATTTATTCGTTTCTTTGTATTTATTTGTTCCTTTTTAGTTGAGCAAACCATCAATCCTACTCCTAAAAGTGTAATTTGAAAATTTATTATTCTATTACGTTTAAATGACTAATTTGAATGAAGTTATGATGAAAGAATGATTCTCGCCGCAAAGCTGCAATTACAACAAGTGGAATGTATAATATTTATATGGCATACTAATATAAAATGATTTTTAGTTTATAAAAATATTATCTGCAATATACAATTAAGATGAAAAAAACATAATAAACATTAAAACTGAAATAGTTTCTCTAAATGAATGGGTGTTCGTTCCAGATTTTTATGATAAACCTTATCTTTTTTTGGAAAAAGTTGTTTAAATTCTAAATATAAACAGACTTCTAATAATCTCTTACTAATTTAATCTACATAAACCTTTACAAAATACAATAATATTTTTTCTAGTGGCACTGGTGTTGGAGTATGCTGATATTATTAGCACTGGATAGTTCACAAGGCGAGAAGTATACCCTGGGATACTTAACTGGCTCGAAGCGGAGACCTGGCGACTACAGCTATTCAAGACCTGGACGAGTTATTTCCGGTAAGTTGCTAGAAAATAAATACATAAGTAAAAATTGTTTTAGATATATCTAGACAATTAAATAACATATTAACATATAAGATGGAGAAGGACATAGGCTACTTATATTCTGAGTTCCACGCATTTAACAAAAAAATATATAAAAACTTATTTAAAAAAGGATCAATACAGTTACAAAATTTACAAAGAATACAAAAGAGTCTGGTTAGCATTGAATAAAAGAATAAAGCCAAAAAGTTATCATAATGAGGCCTGAGTAGAAATAGTAATTTGTTTTATAAATGCAGTCATTCAAGTTTTTTTAACAACTTTGAACGAGGAAATATACTTGTCACGTAAATTGTCACTGAAACATTCGAATTCCATTTTAACCGACTTTAAAATGAGGACTCTAGTTCACTTAGGTACTTTTAATATTTTGTTTTTAAAGGTCTATATGTTTTCAAAAGCAAGCGGCCGGTTGTAAAACGAAAAGGCAAAATCTTGTGTAAAATGATTAAAATCGTATAACACCGACGCCAAATAATTGAAATAAGATCAGTTAGATGATGAACTGCCTATACATCTTACCCATTTATCTTGAAATTAATAAAAAGACAATATCTGTCACCTAAAAGTAGTCAGTCGAGAATATTAAGCTATGTTTAACTACCAACGCGATCTAGACCATAGTAATTAATTCTTGGCAGCACTTGGTGGTGATCGTGATGTTTTATCATTTAGTATGTTACGCCACATAATTATACATCTAACAAATTAATTACATATTTAATAATAGTCTCTCCTTATTTACAGGGGCGATATCAATGGCAGTAGAAGAAGTTAATGAAAAACTGCTAGGACCAATGGGGCATTCTTTAGACTTTGTCGTAGCTGAAACTTACGGTCAAGAAGAAGAATCTATAAAACAAGTACGTAGAATTTTACATTTATTATTTATCGCATCGAAAAAAAATTTCAATTATACAGTCAATTTCTTATAGAATTTTTTTATTTCAAGTAATATTAAATTCAAATTCATCTTTATTAAAATAGACTTCTTTAACTTTCACTTTTAAATCATCATTTTCATTAACCTACTGCAGGATTCTGAGAATTGTTATCCGCTAAGAAGAACTCGAAAAAAACTCAACAGTTACTCTTTTAGAACTCTGTTAATGTGTATGTATTTACATGTATTGTCTAAAATTACATAGTCATTCAAAAAATCCATGCATTGTCGATAATGTACATTTGTCATTCAAATTTATATTATTTACATACATATCTTTATTCTATTTCGTAGGGAAGGTGCGTCGTTTTTAATACTGTTAGTGGGTGTTAGTAAAAAAAAACCTGTTAAAAGGTTTTAATTTCGTTTAGTCCATTATAAAATGTAGGATGACTTTAAGGTGACACTTATAGATAGAAGTCATTTATATTTGAGAGTGTCAAATATAAATTACGTCTCAATATTTAATGTTTATATGTCATACTTTAAACATTCATCGACAAAACAGAAAAAAATGCACGAATCAAAAGATTGTTTAACTCTTTTCCCGGACTGTAAAATTATATCTTACGCAACGCGACACCCCTCATAACTGCTTTATACACTCTTATATTAAATGAGTGCTATTATATTGTAACTAAACAATATTTATAGAGACATCCTACATTTTAATATGGATCAAATGAAATTTAAACCATTTAATAGGTTCTTTTTACTAACACCCATTAATAGTATATATATTCCTAAATACTTGTATATGGGGGGAAGAGGATTGTTAGTAATGGGGTCAAATAGACCCCTTACTAGCAATATATCCTGTCACGTCGACCTCCACGTGGTTCCCCCTGGAAACCATTGTGAACAATTCTTGTTGAATTCGTCACGATGGGCTAACTGGCCTGCTTCATCCTCACCTATCATCTTTCACTGGTGCCCCTCCGGTGTATACCGATAGCGCGGGTGGGATTACCATTCCATTATCACCAATTAAATAAAATACTTGTATATACCTGTATACATACATAAGCACCTATATATACTCGTTTTATATATTATTAAGTACGTATTGTACACATACATATTTAACAATGTAATACGAGTATAATACTGTCAATAATAAATAAAAATTAGCCCTGCGTATACTTAATATACGTAATACCCACCGTGTTGAATACTTCGTTACGTATCTACGAATATGTCCACTAGCTAGTTAGTCATAGTAGCTTTATTGTTTATTTTTGTTCTCTCATTTTTATTCCTTTTACTAAAAATATAAGTACTCGTACGTATTCACAGCCGTCAATTGGATCATCAATGATTTAATAGATACTTACAACTATTTTTTTATTTCTATTAAATCACACTAATTTGAACCAATTTTCCAATCTTTATCTGAAAACTCATAGTTACTAGTTATATTATTAAATGTCGAAATCGATATTATATAAATAATCACAATAAATGCAAGTAAAATGAGTTTATAAAAACACGTTTTCCTATACATTATGCTAATCTTTAAACTTCATTCTGTATCAGCCAACTACCTACTTAGGTAAGTACTCGTCAAGACTAATCTAGCGAGGTTAATCATCATAACAACTTAAACATCATCATCAGATTGACTTACCTTATTATTACGTACGTTGTCATATATTCTAAAAATATGTTTGATATTAAATATGGAAGAAGCGAAAGAGGTTTGTTTGAATCGAAGCATTTGGCGTTCCATTGTTTCTGCCTACCCTAATGAGAGACAGGCGTGACAGATATGTATGTATGTATGTATGTTGGATATTGGTTACAAGAATGTATATAAAAATACTTAAACTATTAAGTAATAATTATAAATAGTTCCGTGTGATCCCGGCATACAATAGGCCACCCCTTCCTTTCCTGGGGGTGTCGTAAGGGGCGACTAAAGGAACTAATGGTAGAGGGATGGGCAGCATTGTTCCTCTTAAAACATCTCTAAAATCCTAACTGCTTATGAGGAAGGCTTGTGTTTAGCAGTGGACAGTTAACGGCTGAAATAAAATTAATGAAACTAATAAATAGCTAAATAAAAACCGATAGAAACATCCTAATTCTTTAATAACACCGAAACCGTATAAACAGATAAACGATTTATTACGACTCTCAATCCGATAAGACAGTAACGGTATGCGTGGTTAGCGCAAATTTTATGGGCCATAGACCGAAGTTTACAGTAGTCATAACTTCGTGGAACAGAATGGGAGCTTCATCCTGTGCATCTCGGCTCTTTCATAACAAATCTAAAATTAACTGTTCGATATGAAATCATATATCTATAATATAAGATTTTATAACGTGACACAAGATAAAGGATCTCTTGAAAATAGAGTCAGAGAGACAAACAGTTTGACTCTTAGCTAGGATTACGAGCACTTAACATTTGTTACCTTATTTACTCTTACTTTATCCCTCCTCGGAAGATAAGAAATTGTACTTTGTCATATTGATTTCCACATGGTCCCTTCCGGAAACCATCGTGGTTAATTTCTTATGAAAGCACCACTATAAGCCCTTGACCTAATTTTATCCTCCACTGCTATCTTGACATAGTATACTATAATATAAGTATCGACGGGTGCTCTATACTCATCCATATTCATCTATTGGAAAAAAAATTCCATGCTTTGCTTTTATTCTATCTCACCGTCGCAAAAAAATTATTCAAGCACATTTATATTATTATATTACCAATATTTAATTCATGCATATGTAATCCAGTCTAGATACTGCAATATGAAGAAAATAATAAATATATCCTTATATGAGTCCATAATAGATACATATATTCTATATATCTGTATACATCAATCATAATACAAAGGCTTATATAATCACATAACAGACATTTATAAAGCTTGAATAACTGTTACTATGGACATTTGATTCAAGGACGGCTATCAAATACGCTTATCAAATATCATTATTCGCAATTCATTGAAATAAGAACAACTTCATCGACTTTCGCTTTAAGTAATTTTATTTGATATGTGTGTAACCGGAATTTTATACCTAAAACATTTTTGTATCTTGTCTGTTACGTCAACTGTTTATCACTAGGTTAATATTTTTTTATAAATAAAAATAAATAAATAATTTTACGATTTTCATCCTTAAAGAGAATTCGGAAACATGTAAGAACTATTATTATTGTAGCGAATTCACTGAGTTTGGTATCATCTAGTAAACTATGATTATCGTCATGCAAAATAACATCTAGAATATTATTATTACCAGAGGGAGACTTTGTATAAAAGTCGATTGCTTGGGTACCTCTATCCCATTCGTGTTTCAACCGTGAAACAGCTGTGTGTGCATGGCTGTGTTTCGGTTTGAAGGGTGGGATATGGCGTGAATTTACAGAGGTACAGAGGAATAACATCTGAGTCCTCAGAATGGCAACGCATGGGGAGTATCATGGGCGAAACAGTATACTCTGTTATGTCCAGGTACCAGCTCATGTCTACAGGCGACGGTTATCACTTTGCGTCAGGTGGGCCGTCAGCTTGTTTGTCATTTTAAGTTGTATAAAAGAAAATATTATTTTCGTTATAGATAATATTACTATTTAAATATTAAAAATCAAATGTACTAATAATTTTCTATTTCTAACCTTACCAAATTAGTCTACATTTACATTTACAATCTCTTATAAAAATATCTATATCGCACACCTGTAATATCCCCGGTGTAACAAGTACTCATGGTCGATAATAGTCATCATTAAGTGAGCTACATACTCGTTTACCCCCTGTGTTACAAAAAAATGAATAACTTTCACACAATAACAAATATACACCCAAATTAATAACACCCTGCTTTTAAATTTCAGTTAAAAATTGCATTGTGAATAAGAACAATGGATATGAAATGCGCATGTAAGCAAATAATTCTCGAAACCAACTAATAGTGCAGTAGGGACTCATGAATTTCAGAATTCTAAAGATCAGCTATTATTTAACACGAGAGTAAATTTCGATTCTGGGTTTTATGACCATAATGGGTTTAATTCTACTCCTCCATTTCAATATAAATTTATTTTATTGAAATTACTTCTCGGTTTTAGAACAATATTTCATCACTTTATCAAAGTAGAGCACGGTAAAGCGTAGTAGATATACATAAATATAATATATAAAGTCTATCTACATATTGTATGTATGCAGGTAGTTGGCTATCAGTATTTTAGTGAACTGATCGATTTGATAGCATTAGATGGTATAGAAAGATTCATCTCGTTGATTCGAATGAAATCACGAGTTCAATCTTCAGTCGGCCCATATATAGTTTGTAACCCCAGATACCTAATTTCTAATTCTATTGATAATTAGAATTATTTAATTTATGTAGTTTCAGTATCAAACTCATATTTTAGAAAATGTAGAAGAATAAGGACGAAAAAAGAGTCCGTTTTCAATTCTGTTGGGTATTAGTTACTAGTTTTTACCCGCGACTTCGGCCGCGTGACTGTTATATGTTTACGGACCGGGATAAAAGTAATCTATATCATTCTCCATCTCATATAGTACGCATATATCAAATTTCGATATCAAAATGATACCTTCGCCAAATTTTAATAATTATTTTTTCACCAAAAGAATATTGTCACATTTTCATCTTATACTAACTACATCAAGACTAAAGTTAGTATTTACATAAAGATGCACAAGATATATAAATAAAACATATTTTGATAAAAAAAATCAATTGAACGAAATCTTGCTTTGTATTATTTGTAAACAACTTTTTAATAGCAATGTTAAAAATAACCATTAATAAAGGATTTAAATAACTTTTACGTTTATAATCAATGTTAATAATCAATATCGTCGCACTAAATAAAAGTAAAAGCAACAGTCTATGATTCAACACCTGCAATGGCTGAATATCATAATTATATCAGTATAATATCAGGCAAGTGCATTCTTGCTTGTGTACTCCAGAAATAATCCAATGTGCGACGGTGCGTTATTCCTAAGACTCTCGGTGACCTAGTAATGGCGGCCATCAGAAGCCACAGCACGTTCTACTGTAATTTACTCCATCTTATTAGTTAATTCACTTGCTTAATTACCGTCTATCCTTAAGTTCAAAGCAGTTAATAGTACTTGCTAACATTTAATAATTTGAGTTTTTATTCCACAAAATATTTCTGATCGGCCCTATATACATATAATATAGGGTAGTATAGGGCCTATACAAAAATATCAAAATTGGTTTAGGATTAGTGAACATATCGCGAAAATAAATAGATACAAAATTATTACACAATACACAACTATCGAATTTTATTATATAACTAAGTATAAAACGTATACTTGTATTTATAAATAACAGTAACAGTAACGTACATAACGTAACAGTACTTAAAAACATAGTACACACAGAGGATGTCTTATGTGACTGTTTGACAGATCTATGTCATTGTGCTTATTAATATCTACTCTTAACAACGAATCGAAATGATCACTTTAATAAATTCTAATGTAATAGGTAATATAGATAGGTTTACCACTTTCAAACATTACTAACTTTAACAAAGTTAATTGTCGTGTAAAATTATAAGTATTACTTCTTTATAGAAGATGTGTTTATTACCATACATAATTTTTACAAACGACGATTAATTCATGCATCAATTTAGTCAACCATCCGTTTGATCGTCAATTTATTCATTCGTTCATTCATCCATTCACGCTTCGACTCACAGTTCTTTCAGTCGTGATATTTATTCATTATAATTTATAATTCAGAAATTTAAACAACAATTACTTTTTCTGTCTCTACTTTTTTGTTCAGTTGATCCGGATACCAAACCTGAAACCAGGGACGTATTCCGATATTTAAAATCCAAATTACACGTCTGAATAAAGCTCGATCGAAGTAAAAGTATTTAAGTTTTTTATTGATTTTGATCTGAATTATGTTTGAGGTTTTGTTCAGTAGAAGTTGGCTGAATCTGTGACCGACGAACTATCAGTCGAAATATCGATTATATCCGTATTGTTCTACGATTTAGTTCTACTAAATACTAAAACTGAGCGGACTGAAAAATCTGTTCTGTTCTACTAGTAGAACAAAACAAACAAATATCTTAGTTTCCATATTGTAGTAGATCCCCATCTCAAATCCTAGACTGAACATCATCAGTGGTGCTGGATATGCCCATAATCCAGTACTACAAGGCAAGTTTTTGTCTAACTATTTCTATCCATTAAGTTTTGGTTATGTAAACGATATATTTGCCTAGGTATACGAAAAAATGTCTAAGTAATTAGTCTCTATGAGGTATAAGAGGTAAAGAAAATAAAGCAGATATATTAAGTTAAGCGAATGGCACTGTTATTGTTAAAAGTTTTATATAAAGTTTATGCTTATTAATAAGGTAAAAATAACCGGATTGACTTACGTGTATTTTTTTCGTTAATTCTCGACTGGTTTCGGAATCATGCAGGACCCATAATATGAGTCACACTTTGCTTCCCGCAAAAAGTGAAGAGTATGACTTTAGATATAAGGACAATTAATAATAACTATCGTGAATACGTAGTAATAAATATATAATTGATCAAGTATGAAAGTTCGTTACAACAGTATTTCAATTACTTAGCCCATTTTTAATCAAAGTATGGACATTTTTCTATAATCATTAAAATTACTCGTAAAATAGAATGATAATAGAAAATATTAACATTATTATGAAACTTTAATTTATAAAACAAACTATACTGCTCCTTAAACATGCAATAAACAGAGCCATTATTGTCTACTACAGTAATTTTTCTTACGACACAAGCAGGAAGCAAGGGACATAAATTTTTCCTCTTGCTGTTACACGTTATCCGTAAATGCGAACTTTTTATCAAGTCAAGAATATTTGTTAGGGTAATTGATGGTGTCTAAAGTTCTTTTAAGATATAAAGCAGGAAAAGAGGGCGTACGTAAGGGTACATAAAAAAAGCGGGCGCATCAGTCGTTGTCGGCCGCAGACGCGTATTCTTGTTATTATAAGCTCATAGTTAAGTAGATAAAACTTGGGAATTTGACTTACCACAAAGAAAATATTATATACGTACCTTTTCTTTATGATTCTTTTTCAATCAACTTCGAAATGATAAAAATATATATGAAAAAATATTTAACGGTCCAAAGTGAAGGTCTAATGACGACGATATTCAACTTTCAGAAATCTTTTCTTATTTTTGTATCTTTTATTTATCCCTTCAGTCACGTACGTGTATGTAGCATCTTCCTCTTCTATTATAATGAACATTCCGGATACACGCAAAATGTGTACAAAAGCAGCAAAATCTAGAAAGTTTGGCTATCTCATAGGCGATAGATACTTGATAAATGAAAAGCAGTACGTGCGTAACAAATAATGAACAGAACTCCTGAACTAGCGACAAATATTAGACACTTGAAGTCGATAAGTAATTCTCCATTATTATATTATGTATGTAGATATACATGTGTAATGTTCGTTGATTATAAAATAAATATTTGATTGTATAATTCCAAAAGAGGCCTCGGGGTACCCCATACTGTAAATGTTATTGCCTTGAATTATTGTGATTTTTATAAACTGATAGAATTAGGTACTTTAATACTAAAGACTAACAAATATTGTAAAACAGGATTTTTATATATTAAAGTATATTTCTTATATCCACACGTTAATCAATAATAAATAGTTTTTCCATTAATTTAATTTCTCCCCTAATATAACTCATAAAAAAACAAGAAAGATAGGATGTGGTCTGTATATAATTCCCTTGATATTTCTAAAGAAGGTTTCATGTTAACGTCCCGACTATGCAATATTTCAAAATTTCTAAATTACTTTGAACAGTGCATTAACTAACAATTTTCTACTATATTAGATTATAATAATTCTATTCTTAATTAATTCTATGTACATATTACATAAACGAGGGACTATAATAGAACGCAGTTACTTTACTGACAACTATAAATATGAAAGTCCCAGTAGACATCAAACTGGTAAACGGGAGTTCGTTTACGCTATATTACAGCAGACGTGAAACTTATTAATTTTTCTCCTCCATTTGGTAGGAGCTTGAGAGCTGATGTTTATTCATTTCCTTTGACTCTTCATTAGGTATGAGGCGCCTAAGGAAATAATACAAGGAAACTTCTGCATTCCACTGTTGATTGCGTTTATTGTTGGCAAAGGGGTTAACTGACAGAAAACCAATGAAGTTATTTCATTAGAGCTAGACACCATGATATTGTAGGGGTGAAATGCGCAAGGGTCTATTAAACATGAAGTTAAATGACACTTAACACGTAATTGAAGTCGTTTTCTGGACGTCTTGCAAATAATTAATGATAAATTCTTCACTTGACAAGAATTGAAATATTTGTAAGTCTTTATAAATCTGTAGTATATAATAAACATAACTACATTAGAGACAGAAACTTAACGAGAAAAAAATGTAGAACGATTGGACAAAATATGATGGAATAATTTTAAAATAATGCAATACAATAAAACTGTCATAAATAAGTACTTTAAATACCTTTTGTATCTATATATCATCAAAGGCCTTCTTTATAAAAGGAGGCTTCGCTAGTAGTTGCCTCACTTGGCAATAGGATTGGCAATCGCAATTAGGCTTTGATGTTTTAAGAAGGACTTTGCTGCCCATCAAACATAAAAAAGGGGTGGTCCATTCTATGCCGAGTACGTATTTAAGTCACACTTTACATACATATGTTTACGTACCTGTACATGTGCATTTTATCAAAATAGGTCGTACGTCCAACAGGTGGCAGCTTTGTGGGCAGCCAACGTGTCCGCGTTCATTGGCCCGCAAGAGACATGTGTCCACGAAGGTCGGATGGCGGCTGCTTTTAACTTGCCTATGATCAGCTACGTAAGTTATTTTGAGTATTAAATTTATTTATTTTAGATTTCAAAGAACAGTACATTTATTTTTGTTACAGTCAACAATTTCTGATAATGCTTGTATATGTCACAAACAATCAATAAATAAGATGTGGACAGATGATTTAATGCACGTTTTTTTCAATTCAAAGAAAGTATCTTAATAAATAGAAATACTAATGGTTTATTCCTCTCATAAAAACTTGTAACTAAATAGGTTACAATTAATTATTGGAGGGATTGTGAGAGTTGAGGCCCAAACTAGGTTGTTTTTTTATTGGATGAAAATGGAGTGGTAACCCCGCCTGCGCTAATGGGATACGCTGATGGGGCACCAGTGAAGGGTGATCGATGAGGATGAAAACAGGCCAGTTGCCCATCATGATTAATTCATCAGGAATTAATCATGATAGTTTCCAGGGGAACCGCGAGGAGGTCGACCTGGTTGAGTATATTGCTAGAAATGGGACTCTCAGTCTCCATTACTAACAATCCCTTTTCCCCCCTACCAAACTAATTTATGAAGCCTATATATATCACGAATATCAGGCTTTACCACTTATATTTACTTTCTGTAATAAATAAATCTTGTAATAAAAGCTGGGGTAATTAATATAATGCTAATTGTAAATATTTTAATGTTGATAAGATTGTGGACATAGATCTACTAGATTTTTATGCAAATACATATATCAAGATACTACCTATATAAAATATAAATATTTTTTTATAACTTAACTATAAATTGCTATGAAAGATGTATCTGTGCGTGAATGTGGCGTGATTGTATGCATAGTGGTGCGAGTTTATATGTTTTATTGTGTGTATTTGTAAATAATTTGTGTGTTTGTAAGAAATTATAAAATACATAAAAATATTACGAAAAACATAAAAAAAATATAAGCTTTTATATCTATAAAGACATTTATTGAGTTGATATTTTTACTATATAATCCATATTCATAATTCAAATTAACAAAGTCGCCATCGTTATAAGAAAAACTTTGCGCTGCGGCGTCGCTGCGTTAACTGTTTTCTCGTTATCTTTAGAATTTCCATTTTTAAACAACTAATTGCAATTCTATTCGTTTTATAGTCACATTTTTGTATTCAATATATATTATTATCCATTATAAAACTACTTATTTATATTTCGATGACAAAATCAGTAACCTTATAACACTTTTAAGTTTTTGTAATATCTCACTTTTAACAACCTAAACTAATATTACCATGTATTTAAATAGTTTTGTTGTTAAAATTTGTTCTACAGTATTGCAGAGATGTGGCCAGTTCAAACAAGAGGGTGTACGCTACGTTCGCGCGGACGCGACCCTCGGACATCGACATTTCGCGATCAGTCCTCGCCGTGCTCACGCATTTCAATTTCAAGCATGTAAACTTATTTATCCTAATACTTTCCTCTTTTTATTTATGTAGACAACTTTTTCTATATTATCAATTGTATTATATAACACATTGTACTGAAATTTCATTTAAATTGTACTTAGGTTTATACCTACAGCGTGAAATTTTTTTTGTATCCTTTAGAAATATATATATCAATTCTACAGTTATTACATTTTTCCATTACTACTTTAAAATATTTTATCTTTAAAAAAAAATAAAAGTAAAAAAAGAACAAAAATTTTGGATAGTATGATGGATTTATATTTTTTATCGTTTTTCGACCCATCTGTCTAGATTTAATTAGAAATATTCTAATAAAAACTATATTGTGAAAAAGTTTAGATTCACTGATGTTTTGTAAGGATGCAATAGCTGATCGAAATTATAACAAATACGTTCTCATTACTTCTCCATCGCAAAGTAAACGAAAAATAAGTTTAGGATTTTAAACAAATCTGTTGTAACAAATCTATGTTAGTATTATTATATATAAGCAGGTATTATAGTGCAAGCAATAAAAGGTATACCGAATGAATACAATCAATAACTAAGTAAATAAGAAAAAATCAATAACTAGGTCCATATATGGTACTTACGAGAGATTAAAAATCTAGATAGCTAGTTTAGTAGTTAAAAATAAATAGTATATAAATCTAAGGTATAAATATATAGATACACTCAATCACTTAGACACGAAATTAAAATTTTCGTTCAGCAACATTTCAAATACAAGTCTATAACTAAAATGCTTATGGCCTTCACAAAACTAATTAATAATAATTAACTTAACATTTCAACATTTACAAGAACGCTGTTATTTACAATACCTACATAATCCATACTACAATGACAAATAGCTCTATGTACTACTGAATTGGCTTGTTTAACCACTTAAGAAATTAAATATTATAGAAATTATATATTTTTTTAATAAATAAAATCTAAATGCCTTTATACAGTGTTTAAAGATATAACTAATAAAAATTTATTATTAGTTTTATAGCATCAATAAAATTTGGATTGGTTGTTGATTCGTCGACTTAAACCGCGTACTAAATCGAAATGCTCCCGCATAAAATACATAGGAAATTGAAAGTTTGAGTATTATTTCTTCCGCTATATAAATATCTCCTCACGGATATTACACGAGCAGGTTACAAATTTTAAAGTGCAAGGTCTTATTAGAAAGGTTATCTAACCTTTACACCTATCTATATTATTTGCAGATAGCAGTAGTCTACCTCAAAGCACCAAATCATGATTTCTCTCGATTAGCCCTTGCTATTATGTCAGCGGCAACAGAGAGGCAAATATCAGTACGCAAAGTACAAGTCTACAGACAGCCTTATTACAACGAAAATAGAAGAGAAAACTTCACGCGTAATCCCTTCTTGGACATTGTTAGAGAGACTTATAAAGACACTAGAAGTAAGTACCGCGTATAGTAATACTCTAAGCATAAATAATTTGGATAGGAGTGACACTCATATAAAGTAATGCCTCGTACTTACGCGATAGATAGGACAGAGCGATAACCGCGTAAGTCCAATTCGCGTAATAACTCATAGCAATACATAAATTATTATACTCCGAGTACAACTATATACGTATTTCTATGAGTTCCTAACTAAACATCTATTTCGCGGGACACGTTCAATTATGCACCTTAACAATAGTATGAGTGGAGTGAATTATCTAAAATTCTCTGGCGTTCAAACAATTAAATTAACGAGATTGCAAAATGGGGTAACTCCGGTCTGCGTAAATCATGGTAGCGTAAGTTAAGGTATTACTGTATTTTTCTTTGTGAGTGTTTCGATGCCGACAAAAAGCAACCCAGTTCCACTCACTCAAATAGGGTTGTCACAAATTTATACTCAATTAATAACACAGAATGTCACTTCTACCCAGTATTTATTATGTTAATGCCATGTTTTTTGTCTGTATTTTACATATAATTAAATAACATCATATAAAATTATTAACTAAATTTATATGAAACAAGAATATGGAAAGAATATTTTTTTGTATAAATACGAGTATTTTCCTGGCTCTGATGTTTAGTTATTGCTGAGATAGTCTGTAATAGCCTATCATTCATCAGGGATATAATTATTGAGAACAGCTACTTAGCAAAGATATTGAACTTTCTTTAGTTCTTGTTCAATCTTCGCTGCTAAGTATATCTATCAATCTAACTTCACGCCAAGTTCCTTGTGTGGTAGGATAGATTTATATGCATTTCTTGCTTGCGATTGCTTTCATTATGAGTATTATTTTCTAAGTACATTCACTATCATTTCCAATTTTTTAAAGTAATTAAAAAGTAAAAATTTCCAAAATCATCATCATTAAATTCTTGTTCCAGTCTATGTTTCCGTGGGATATTATCACGATCACATCGGTCTGATGCTGGCCTTGGATGCCATGCAGCTATTAGATTCAGGTATGTAAGTATATTATACATAGAATTATTTTATTAAATTTTAATAGTCCTTTTTTTATTATTACTGTTATTATAAAAAATGTTAACAAAAATGTTTGTTTTACACATTTAAACAACATTTTAACAATAGACTAATTAAACATAATGATCATCGGTATCTAGTCGAATTAAATATAATCAATGATAACAGTATCCCTCTTCAAACTAAATGAATATAAAAAGGGAAGTAATGAACGTTATGAACAAAAAAAGAAAAACCTTGATCATATCGGACAGAAATATTCAATAGCATAAGTATGATATACTTATGTCTATATTAGCAGATACTTATCCCTCTCTGCCTGTCGTTTATGACTGACAATGAGACAGTGATTTACTTTTGATTAATGAATTTATTTTAGCCGATTATGTATGTATAAATCATGAATGAATGGGTATACTTTATTTGCATAATAGAATATAGGTAATAAGCAAGACCATTAATAAATGTAACGATACACTTTTATAAGTACAGTAAAGCAGTCTTATTGCTGAAAGTAATCTTTTCAAGGTAAATTTTTAGCTTATGCTATATCCCAACGTTCCATTTTGCAATGACTTTTTGAAAAGAATCGTAAAAATCTATTGTCTTCCCTAATTCATGATGCTTTTCAAATAACAAATAGGTATCAGGCATTATAGACGTGAGCATATTTATCTTTATATTATTCTAAAATAATTATGTGATAATGACTATGAAATGAACAGATGCCAACAAAACAGAAACATTTTTTTAATCATATTTCACTAAGTTCTCACTGTATCGCTGATCGCTTCGGTGTACTTGGTTCTTTATTCTGAATTCCCAGTGAATTAACTTTTTGGGACACTCGTGTTCATATTCCAATCTTGTGAATAAAACATATTCCAATATCGGGAAGGGAAAGAGCAAATGTATTTTTATCCTAGGATAAATCAGAAAGCTATTTTACTTATAAAAGTGTTTTTTGTTAATCTGATCCCTTTTGATGCCCTTGAATTATACTGGATATATTATTTCATAATGATTTTAAGCCTGTCTTTATTTATTTGGGTTCACCAAATTATTGCTTTATTAGAGCTCATAAATTTTATTTCAAATTAATGTTTAATCATATAGTTCTTAAATGTATCAAAATCTATTCTTATTTTCGTATAACAATGCCACAGAAATATATTTTTCAGATTCTGAAAAGCTGACATTTACCCGTGGAAGGGTTTCGGCGCGTGAATAATTTCCATAATCCATGATTGATATAATATATGTCTAGATAGTCCCCTTTATTTGATCTGCCTTGCACATTCACATTTTATCCCACATGCGATGAAAGAATACGCTAAAACAAATTCAATAAAAAATATAAAAAAAATCAACCACGCAATAATTGTTATATTACGATTTTCATATGCTATTATTAATAATATTTCTATAGTAATTTATAATAATATTAATAAAAGTTTAATGTCTGAAAAGTTAAAACTTTAAAACAATCCTAACCATATTGTTAAACAAGAAATTAAGCTTATATATCCTTATGTAACTGTAATGTTAATTATCATGAATAAAATACTGAACAATTATATTTACGCTACTCAGAATGGCAAAAAGTTAATGCACCTGTAAACTTGGTGACCTCCAACATGCATCTTGGAAACCTTAGAATATATATACCCGTACGTAGCGGACCCTTAAATTTCAACGACATATCCCAGACTTCAAACCGTAACACAGTCATCCAAGCGCAACTGTATTTTTTTTACTAACATTTGTTCCTACAATGTAAAAACTCCCTCTGGTAAGAAAATGAAATAAAAATAATCATAATCAATTTAGATAATATGTAAAGATCCAAATTACCGTTTTCATTGCATGGCTGTGTTTCGGTTTGAAGGGTGGGATATAGCGTGAATTTACTGGGTAGGTACAGAGGAATAACACCTGAGTCCTCAGGAATGGCAACGCATGGAGGGTATCATGGGCGAAACAGTATACTCTATTATATCCATGGTACTGCTCATGTCTATTAGCGACGGTTACCACTTTCCATCAGGTGGGCCGTCAGCTTGTTTGCCATTCTATGTTGTATAAAAAAAAGAAAGTCAGTAGGTATATGAATTACTGACACCACTCATAATATTCAATATTTTTTTTAGTCAGTATTATTATTGCAGCTATTTAAGGCAGTTACCGTACCTAATTCTCCCTCTCGCTAGCGAAGCGAAGAGTCATCAATCACATAACAAGCAAATATATTGGCTCAAGTCTTGTTTGTATTCACTTGCTAATTTTCACACTATCAATAAGTTATAATTTTGTATACATAAATAAACAGCGACATAATTTCTAATAAAATTACGAGCTACTTGTCCATTAATACATAGATATACTTGATACTAGCGACACGCCTCGACTTCGCACGGATAGATAGGTAGAAGATCTGTATTTTTTTTAATTAAATACAACCCATGTTACCCTCTGATAATGTAATTTTCTATAGGTGAATTTTTTTTATATCGGTTAAATATTTTTTGAGTATTACATTACATTCATCATCTTCTTACCCTTATCCCAATTATTTGAGGTCATATAATATGGTTTTATCCATATTACAAAAAGATTTGGCTTATAGTTTTACGGCCGCCTGCCTGTCGTCAACCCCTCTTTGGGAATGCATTTGTTAGTGGTTTCCGCTACCTACGGTATGGAGAAAAGGATTGAGGGAAAAGGAAGGGAATGTTCAAAATGCGTAAAGGAAATTAAAAAATGAGAAGAATAAGGGACTTATGTGAGAAAGGATGGGGGGGGGGGAACTCTACAATTGCGGAAAAGACTAGGTCACAGCAGCGGCTCGGAAGGCCGGGGTCGCATACCCTTATGCCCTTATTCTGGAATCGAACAGATTTCTAGAAAAGAACATTGCATTACAAACAAAAAACTTAAAAAAATCCTATTTATATAAATATACATGTGAAACATATATAAAAAAATATATGAAAATAAAAGATAGGCAAATGCTTCAGTGTTACAAGTTTCCCAAGTTTTCCAATTTTAGAACCAATTACTTTCGTAGAATTATTGATTTGATACTTTGGATATCCAACATACGGATTTAGAATAAAAAACTGATGAGAAAGTTAACAACTAAGAATTCTAGGATGAATGGCTTTCCAGTTATTGGCACTCGACTCATCATCCCGAGAATGTCATAAGAATAAAGTATAACATTCTAGTGTCAGAAACTTAAAAATCAATATAAAGTTCAACATCCAGCATGATAATTATCCTCTTATGGAACATTGATGAGTTATTAATTACTCTGTCATTGAAATGGTACCTAATTGCGTCATATGTTCATTGGTAATAAATTATGAAGTAAGTACCAATTCATATCAAATGGAATAATATTTGTAAAGCCCATTAACATACAAAGAAAAACAAACTGTACTCAAAACGGCACTGAAAATGCAGTGAAGTAAATAAAATTTATGTCTAATCAATCAGCCGCGTTTATTATTAAATATGTCAAAATACTCTTTTACAAATGAAATCAATAAATATTATGGTTAGTATTTTTTCATCATAAGACTTATTAAGATTGTTTACTAATTGTGGCAATTATAGAAAAGCAGATTATACTGAGCCGCTCTTTCAGATCTTAATAATTCTGGCTTAGATAAACAAATTTCAAGCAATGACCCAATTACAGAAGGGTTTTGATCTCTCCGAGTGTATACTTCCCAAAATATTTTACGTACATATTTTTGTAATTTTATTAACTGTTTTTATATTTAAGTCAGTTTCTAATAAAAAAAGATATATAATTATAACATCTACCACTTATGTTTATAAAAGAATTTTGTTTTGTGAATACGTTAATATACCTTAATACGTAAATACAAAATTCATGCACAAAATGTTTAATCTGCATTGAGCAAAACAAATTTCTCAAATAGGTATGGGCGAAGGGCAGGAATATGATATAAAATTCTTAATATATCTACAAATAAACAATTTAAAATGATTTATTTTAATGGAGCATAATTTTAAATTATACTCTATTAAAACAGAATAAGTAAACAAAGCTAATACTGGCTCACTTGAAGATTGTGATTTTTACCAGAAAATAAACCTAAAAGAATTTCCTTCTAAGAAAAATGGAATATTTCTCACAATGATTAATTGATCAAGCTTTATCGGTTCAGAAAATTTCTCAGATATATTACAATATAGCCGCTTCTTCTCAAATATATTATGTATAAGAGACGAAAAGTAAGATCATATTAAGAATTGATAATTTGTCAGTACCCGTATCACCATGCTATAATTTATAGTGGATAAGCGGAGAGAACCGAATACTACAAAACCTGTATTCTTCCTCTATTCAATTTCATTAATATAATTTAATATTTGTTTATTATTATTATATTTAAATTAATAAATTGTATAAAATATACCTATAGATTATATTTAAGTAGATAGTGAGAAAAACTAGTAAAGAAAAGCTTATCTATATATGTATATGTATGAGTATAACAGGAATTTTTCGAACTTACTGTGTTTCTACTTCATCCAGAGGTTTTGTTCAAAAAAAATATTAATATGCTCGTACGTTTAAACACGGTATAAATATCAAGTTACCTTAATTTTTTTTTATTTTAAAACCAGACTATATAACTAACCAAGTAATCAGCGTAACAACGCTTGGAAATAAAACTTAGATTTATAGAATACATATAATGTTAAGTTTACACTCTGAAATATGAATACGCTAAAGTGTTTAGGATACCCACAGGTGAATATGCGGCTATTGGTGTCGACGTAGAGAAATATGAATCTGAAGAGGCAGTCCGCTACTTAGCTGGACCTCTGCGTAAAACACCATCTCTCAGGGCCATCAGAGCCTTTCGCTCGTATCTAGCAGTGGCCCCGTCTCCGGCACCCTCTTATCCAGCATTTGCCATAGAAGTGAACAGAAGATTGCAAATGCCACCATTTAACTTTACGAATCCACTACTTGTGTTCGGAGCTGGAAAAGTGGTAAGTGGCACTACTTATTTGTAATCTACTTAACCTATATAATATATATACTAATCAATTAATACTATAAAAAAATACAATGACTATCTGAAATTATACCAAAATTTAATTAAATGCAATCAAAATATTATGTACAAAAGTCTTTAAAAATTCAATATTATACAAGATAATGCTTAGCACTAAAGAATATTACAATTTGTAAAATTCACATTATTTTAAAAGCCAAAATACAAGTAGAAAATTAAAATTAAATACCATAAATTTTTAAACAAACTAAGACTTCAATTTTTTTTTAAACAAATTAGATCCCTGTTGAGGCAGCGTGGCTCCACGATGCCGTGTGGGTGTATGCGCGCGCTCTCGCCTCTGTTCTAAGCATTGGTGAGGATCCTCGTAACGGGCGAGCTATTGCGGCTCAAATGAGGAACACCACTTATCACAGTGTTATGGGGTATTTATCACTTGCTTACGATGTTACTGACTTTATTCCACGCTTTGCTCGCATGAATTAAAATAAAAGTTCCAACAAAATTTTGTTCTTATATATCTGTTTATAACATTTCATTTAAATTTAATTTTAATTATGAGTTAAATAAATAAAAATAGATTTCATTCAAATCCCTTCAGTGGTTTTGCTTAAACAGTTTAATAAGTAATAAACGTCCAAACACTATAATGTAACCAATATTTATACTAAGAATATTCGTAGGAGATAGGTTATTCTACATACGAAACTTTATCTTCGAATATCCTTTCACGGATGAATAATATCAATGAAAACGGAAAGTTTTAAAGTTTCAAAAATAAACTGAAATATTTTGTAATTATACAAAAGTTATTAAAGAATAAATTGAAAGTATAACACCATTTACATATAGATTTGTAAACTGTCCGTCGTGGTTAGTGTGAATAAGTGAAAAAAAAGTTGAAGAAATGTTATTTATGAAAATTATTTAAAATCTAGCCATAGACTTTTTTAATTTAATATATGGTATATACACAGATATTGGGTGCATATGGATGAGTCTGGAGACGCAGAAGGCAACTACACATTGCTGTCAATTGACCCAACAAAACCTCCTGGCCTTTATCCAGTCGCTGTACTGCACAAGTCCGTTCCTGTAAGTTACTCTTCCATCTCCCTACAAGTACCACAATTTTTTTTATATACCGATATTATAAGAAATAATGTTTTATACTTAATGTTTATATGTGCACATATGTAATATTATAATAATGTTTTATATAGAATTATTTCATATAGAGATGTATTAGTGCAATAATTTTATTACTGAAAAACATTTTTTTCAGGGGGCATTGGTTAAAGAAGCCATAACAAAAAGTATCTACATAAAAAAAAACTTAGAGTTATACTTGTATATATTATCAGATTTCAATGATATCCAATTTTTTATTTTAATTATTTATTTTTGTGAATTATTATTAGTTAAATAAATAGTGTGCATAGTTTATTTAATATTCTAAATTCAAAATTTTGAATAGTACACATCAGACAGATATTAAACCAATAGAGAAACAAACATATCTCGTTTTCTTATATGCGTTAAACTGCTAGTTTTATAACATCACAATACATAAAATCCTATTTACAAAACACTTACGAAATGTAAATAAATATGGAATTAAATAGGCGATATGCGTTTGCATAGCAAATCTGGACGTGGCCTGAATAATCGGTGCTCCTATAACTGTAGCCAGGAGAGTTTACGTCAGAAGTTGGCTAGTGAGATGTACTCATGTGCCAAATTCATATTGGATTCAATATTGGATTTAAAATCTTTAAATCTTAATAGGATATAAAGATCCTGTACTATTAGCATTAAACTGATATACAATACTAATAATATAATACTATACGAATATTATATATTTAATTATTTGTTTGTTATTAATAAACTAAAAACTAATTAACCGATTTTAAACTATCTTTCACCTACAGCTTCCTACAGGTGAAAGATAGTTTAAAATCGGTTACATTATCAGTGAGTAATATAGGTCGGTTCGGATTGCTAGTAACATATATGACTATAATAAAAAAAATTTTCATGCAAATTCTAGGTTTTGACAAAATAACATTAGTGGCCTGTAATACAGCTATTCTTATACCTATTTCAGGCACCAGTCTCTCAGAATTATATTTATAATTTGTTTACTTTAATATAAGCATGTCTCATTGTATTTGATTGTTATGAATTGTGAAGAGAAAATAAATCTATTATTAAAAAAAATTTACTTTAACGCTTTATTGATAGTTTTTAGTGACTTATCTATGGAAACTTTGAAACTTTATTGACTGAGCGAATAATTTATATTTTGTTACTGTTTAAAAACTGTGTGATCGTACACATGTATAACATTATTAGAGGAATGTATATATATAAAAAAAAAATATAAAATGCAATTGGAATTATCAAAATAAGTTTAGAATTTACTAAAAAACAAATAAACTATCATATTAATTACCTCCTCTTTTTGAAGTCGCTTCTGATGAAAGTCCTCCATTCATTTATTTTGTTTTTGTTCCTGAATGCGATAAAATTGTTTGTTAATTTTCATGCAAATGCTATTAATCTGAGAAATAATTAATTTATATCTATAGTTTAACATTTTTTTACAATCGTCTATATATATTATATAATCTCTAGCCTCATAATACCTACTTTACAATATTAATTTAGTAGTACTTTACAATATAAAGTTAGTAACTGTAGAATCATAAAAAATATCTATTCAAAAATACTTGTAATTAATTAGTTAAGTAATTAACTTAAATATTATTATTATTACATGACTTCGTCCAAGATAAAAAAAAATTATAGGTACTTATTTTTTCTAATTATATAATTATAGGTACTTATTGTTAGTACGGTTATGACAAATTTTATAAGAAATAATTGAGGCTTTAAAATAGCAAACAAACTCACTATCGAATTTTAATATGACTAAGGAATTAAAAGGTTTCTAAGAATAGATAGAGAAGATTTTTTAAATATTTACATACATGTAATAATAATTTTTTTCGAAATATTTTCTTATGTCTTTTATTTAATGCTATTAATACATTATACAGGAGGTGAGACTTCTACGAGAACTGAAATGGCCTGGTGGACAGGTGCCCCTCTCTGAACCACCCTTGTGGTTTCCGGGGCGAAAAATGCGTCAGTAAGTAAAATATTTTAATTGAATTTCGCTTCGTGTGTACGTGTATGAGCGCGGTTTAATTGTATAATTAGAATTTTAATAGAACTGTATAATTTTCGTCCAAATTTTAATTTGTTGTAAAACATGACACCTACATGACTTCGCATAACAACATTCTAATGTTATATAATTCATTATATAAAGACATTATATACGGCGATGCCTACGATTTTTTCATTTGATATAATGACGATATCTATAGACAAACATATTTTTATTATAAATAAAAAAAAAGAAAAAAACTTTCTTGTAATAATATTAAAACTATTTTGAAAGATTTTTATTGCACAATCACTCTTTTACGGATTAATGGATTTGAAACACGTAAGTCTTATCGTATCTTAAATTATCTCATAGGGTACTATTTATTCAAAAATATTTCGCGAGCGAAGCCGCGATTTCCAGTTAGTAATTTAATGTTTTTGTAAGATAAAAGATAATAAATGAATGAATGAGTACTATACAATATAGGAAATAAGCAAGACAATTAATAAATATAACGATACAATTATATAAGTACGTTAAGTTATTACTGAGAGCAATCTTTTTAAGACAACCTTAGACAAACTTTTATTATATTTGTCAACTTATAAAATACTTTTCCTTGTACCAAAAGTTAAAGTTAATTTATTTTGGCTTCTTGAAAAAACGTATCTTTGAGAATATGTAGAATCAACGAGTGAGCCGAAATGTTCCATTAAGGGCGGTCGATACAACGGACTAACACATTCAGTTTACTGGCGATCTAAAAAACTAATATGTTGTGTTAGTGCTCGAAGCGGCATTAAGCGCAAGGTTTGTAAGCGACAGTAAGTGGGGTGGGTCGTAAAAGCGTCGTAAGGGGTACTGGCGACAAGCAATGCGCAGCAGCAAGCCATCGGCCGCACGCGACGCCCGCTGCGTTCGCACCCGTCGACACGTCCCTCTAATACCACTTACAGGACTGTAGCCAGAATTACATGCCACTCAACTTTGTTCGCAATATAAATGAATTCTTATCTTCAATAATATAGTTTTTGTTACGTAGATTTTTCTTTTAATTGGCTTCTATATGTATTGCATGTGCTGCATTTAGTTCATGCAAGATCTAAAACTAACAATGAGTTTCATATACCAGTACTATCTAGTAGATAAGTACCACCACCACCGTCCTACCTATTACCTATATTTGTCGCTTAAGGCAACGGTTTTTTTAAATGCATTAAATGGACATGCATTGTTAATACAGCGTCTCAACATTTATTCGTCGTTTTCAATTAACATTCCTTCGGGAAAAATTGCCATTCCACTAGTAGAACACTTAATAATTAACCATATTAAGTTTTGGTTTCATTCTATATCCCCTAAGAACGGCCCTGGTATTACTCAAGCAGCACTTGTGTATATGTACAATATATATAATAAAGAATAGTTCTTCATAATCCCAACACGAGAAAAGCTTTAGAATCGTAAATTGCTATAGTAAATCTAAGTACCTATATACCTATCATTACGATATACTGAACGAACTTACATATTTTCTTTAAAGCACCAAAATATATGAAAAGTAATATATTTTGTAACACTTAATTTTTAAATAAATCTTATTTTAGAGGATTTAAAAATTTAAACCTTTAAGAGGAGAAACATCTAAGTAATGAAAACATTCTGCAAAGAGAGTAACGAATGTGCATGAGTTATAACGAAACATAACCAAGTCGACAACCTGTAGCAGTATATAATTCATGAAACTTAATTTCTCTCCCAACGAGCATAGTGATAAATAAAAAACTATTATTAAAACATTAATTCATCTTTCAGACACAAGATCTATTCTATTTAATCTATTTATTAATACGGTATTTAGATATGTTATGAAGTTGTAGAATGCCATTAAAGAAAATATAATGGATACATACTATTAAATATACCACAAATAACTGCCTTGTAAATACATACGTAAATTTTACTGTACATATGTAACAACGAGTCAGTGATTTACCCACTCACTATAAAGGGATAGCACTCTTGTTATTCTATTATACTTTGAAAATGGTGGATTTCCCGAGTGTATGGCTTTGTTCCATGCCAGTTATTCCAATTTAATGCTTCGCCTCGCCTCTACCCACTTTATATCACTCGTCGTAGACAATCCTTCTAGCTACATATAATTGAATACAAACGTTTAACGTCTTCGACAGCGAACTCCACTGTTGTCGAGTTTAAATGTGCTAAACATTCTGTCGTAGAGAAAAGAACTGAGTAAATATATTTAAATGTTTGACTAAAACAACGTTAAAGCGGATTTATGTATAGATTATTATTTTATTAGATTATGATTACATTATTATATAATATAATCGTTAACGTCAACACTAAAGATCAAACCACTGATTTTGAGCCATGATTATTTGTAAGTAATTGGAACAGAATATTATAGTGAAGATTGCTTATAATAAATAATTTTATTTTAGAACAAAATGTACTATGGTGCTTAATTACCCTTCTCTACTTTTTAATGAAGAATTAATTTTTTCTGTAATAGCCGTCGTTAGTCAAACGTATTGTCCAATAAAAATGCGCTCACTTCATCTGCATATTTTCATTGAACAATAATTTTAACTACCTACTAACTTAACTATTACTATATACACTAGTCATGTAATAAATATTATGTTGAACATTAAACAAATGATTGTATAATATTACATCAAAAATACAAATTCATAATTAACTACCAGTGAGAGACTAATATACACAAAGTCGTATATAGGTATTTCTGTTCTCTTTTACATGGTGAGATATGAATACCAATTTTCAATAGATGAGCAATCAGACTATTTACCATTCTAAATATTAAAATAAAAAAATAAACTTATGTGGCAGTGTACCTAATCAGGATCCCATAAGATGGAAGCAGAGTACGAAGACGTATATAACTAGCTGTTTTAAATTAGATCTTCCAACAAAACTTGTTAAATCTATACAAGTTTATAAACATTCAATAAAATACAGTTTTGAAGATTGAAACAACGCCAGTAATAAGGCAAGTATATACATTAATCAAAGAAAAGTAACCAATTCATATCAAAAAAGATGAAGTGCTTTGCCTGTATTAGATACGCACTTGGATAGATGTGATTTAATGTCAGATATATTCAGATGCTCGGATATACAATTCTATTAATATTACTGTTTCGCTCCATATATTATTCTATTAACATTATTGTACATATTACCGTAATTTTGATGAACGCAATACTCTTTGTAATAAAGTTATCTCACATCATCTCGACCTCACACAAATAGAGCAAAGCTTATATAGTTTTATCCAACTTTCCATTTTCTTATTAAATTGACTGTAAGCTATTTTTATCTATCTTTTATAGGTATATATCTAAACTAATATGTATTAGTTTGCTAGTATTATAAAGAGGAAAGATTTGATTTTTATATAACGATATTTGATTGTTATGGATAAATTAAAAAACTAGTCGATCAATGTTAATTTTTTTTTTACCAATAGAAGGCTACATTATCGGCAAGCAACATAGGCTGAATTTTATTTTCAAAAAACTAGTCGCTACTCTATCATTGAACTGTATCATGTAGCCTTCCTTGATGTTTATATTGTAAACGTTCCTAATATGCGGATAAAAGGTAATAAGTCTCTGCCAAGCCATTTACTAAGGATTTGTAAAAGTATTACCTGCTCAAATCCTTCCTAGATCGTAAAAGATAATAAAAACTGGCTCCCAATTTTGTGAGGATTATCGAATTTGACCAGCAAGAAATAGAAACAATTACAATTCATACAGCTACTTTAAATAGAGATTTGTTGGAGCGTGTGTGTCCATCAATGTAGTAGATCTCTGTAGGGTGTAACGAGAGAGGCGCATTGCTTTGCATAAAATACGACTAGGTTCGCAGAATCCATTCTGCAGCTTCTGTTATTTTAGAATTTAATGTTTCTCATATTGGCTCGCTATTTCTTGGTTGATATAAGAAACTTTTTATGACGACATAAAAAGTAAGGTTATCTTATGGGATTACCATCTACAATCCTATATAGTGTAGTGAGCAGTATTTTATCGGTCGTCATAAGTTGCTATTATCTTTGTGGCGAAAGTAATAATTCAATAATATTATACATGCTCACATTTTGTACAGCATATTATTGAAGTTCATTGTAACATGGAACGAGACAGTATACAACTAACAACATAGTAATAGATATACCCGATTTAATATTTTACAATAACGACTTCAGTCACATCAAAATGAATATGGTCTCAACGTTGGTTAGTAGTTGATTAATTCGGTTTAGAATTGCTGAAGATCTCGCGTAAAATAACTACACACGATTTGAAAATCTTCTTGTTAGAAGTCGCTTAAAATATGATTTCGCTTAAATTGTAGTTACACCTGTATGCCTATTATTGATTTAAATATCTGCTTACAATATTATTTATGACCAGTAGATCTTTTATCTAAAAATATCTAGTAAAATCCCATACTCATAAAAATGATGCTTCTGTTTATATTAGATGCTGTTTTTATTTTATAATAACGGTGTCGTAAAACCATAGATTTCGGCTGCCGTATAACAATTTTTCATCTCTTGGTAAATATCTAAGATTATCCGTAACACAACCTACAAACAATTCACGTTTTTTCGGCCTTTATTTCGGCTCCTGTACAAGCATTATCATTTTATTTATCGATGGATAACCACGAATACAGACAAAAACTTTCACACTCAAAAAAGACAAAAAATCTTAATTCTGAATTTGTTGCTATTACAATAAAACAAAAAGTAGACTATTTTAACTGTTAGCATAGTTTAACTAAAAAGCGTAACTATTTTATACAGTTAGTTACTACTTAAGAGGTAACTATTTGGTAGTTAAATGCCGTTAAATTATATTGTTATTATCGTCAGGTCATGTAGGAGCGTGGGCCCTAGGAGCTTCAGGTGCCACATTAGCCCTCCTGGCACTGGCAGCATTGGCGCTGTACCGCGGCTGGCGATATGAGCAAGAACTAGACTCGCTTCTATGGAAAATAGACTTTCGAGATCTTCACTTGCCTGAAGAGGAACAACGTACCAACAAACTGAGTAGGTAAACTGACTTTGCAACTGTTGTTTACTTTTAGATAACGGAGTAAGGCAGTCCCTTTATATTAAAATTTTTAATATTTTTAACCCTTATAATAAATAAATAGTTGATATTAACATAACAATATTCAAATATCTAGAATTATAATACACGTATCTACATATAGTCTACCTACTAAAATGGTGGGGGAGAAGAGATTGGTAGTAATTGGAATTAAGAGTCCCATTGCTAACAATATACCTTATCAAGTCGACCTCCACGCTGTTTCCCTTGAACACTATTGTGATTCATTTATTGTTGAATTAGTCATGATAGGCCAACTGACCTGCTTCATCCTCACTTATCATACCTCATTGGTGCCCGGCCAGTATATATCGATAACGTAAGCGGGGCGACCATTCCATTATTATCCCTTAAAAAAACCTAAAATGAGCACTGGTAATGGAATAATGTTTTATTAAAATTCTTATCTACCCAAGATCCCAAATATTCAGGTATAAAACACATTTGTTTTAATACATTTACTCTAGGCAATATCCATTTTCATAAATAGATGATTTTTTTTTCTATTACATACAACGTCCTCTCTACGTTGTGTTTAGACGGCCCAAAAGAATGCAACAGGTTTTGTGTCCAGTTATAAGTTACCAGAACTCGGGACCAGAATATGAATATATTGCTTATGCAAGTGGGTACTTATTACTATCACTTATCTACAGACTAGAGTTTTGCAGCCATCTCAACATAATCTAGTTAGATACGTCATAAATTTTATCATGAGTCTACGACCACTAAGCATTGAAAATATTTAGTTAAAGATAAAGGAACCTTTTTATACACAGATATCATCATCATCATATCATATCAGCCTTTAACTATACACTGCTGAACATAAGTCTCCTCCTTGGGAGAGGAGGGGTTGCCAGTAGTTGCCACGCTTGGCAAGCATATACCCGCAATTAGACTTTGAAAATGTTTTAATAAGGACACTGTTGCCCATCCCTCGCCCTCCATTAGTCGCCTTTTACGATACCCACGAGAAAGGAAGGGGTGGCCTATTATATGCCGGGACCACACGACCATCATCATATCTATGTAGAAATATATTCATACCATAAACTGTTATATATAATATAAATAAATAAATATGAATAATATTTTTTTTTTTTATACAACATAGAATGGCAAACAAGCTGATGGAAACCGTTATTATATAACATGAGCAGTACCATGGACATAACAGAATATAAATAAATGATAATGCTTTGCCATTCCTGAGGACTCAATTCCTCTGTATCCATAAATAACCCTTCAAACCGAGAGAGAGCCATGCAAACACAAGCTTCACGGTTGAAACACGAATGGGACAGAGGTGCCCAAGCAATCGACTTTTGTACAAAGTCTCCCTCTGGTAAAATATAATATATATATATATATATATATAATATATATATATATATATATATATATATATATATATATATATATAATAATAAAATATAATATAAATAACCAGAGGGAGACTTTGTACAAAAGTCGATTGCTTGGGTACCTCTGTCCCATTCGTGTTTCTACCGTGAAGCATTTGTGTTTGCATGGCTGTGTTTCGGTTTGAAGGATGGGATATGGTGTGAATTTACAAAGTACAGAAGAATAACATTTGAGTCCTCAGGAATGGCAACGCATGGCGCATATTATGGGCGTAACAGTATACTCTGTTATGTCCATGGTACTGCTCATGTCTACAGGCGACGGTTATCACTTTCCGTTAGGTGGGCCGTCAGCTCGTTTGCCATTCTAAGTTGTATAAAAAGAAAAACAGAAAATGACAGACACAGCCTTCACTGACAGACATTATTAGAGACGGACAAAATACGAGTAGCTTATACAATTCTATGTATTAGTTTCAAATATCTTCAACTTGGCTCTCTGCAATTAAAACTACCATTTCCTATACTTTTTAATAACTTTATCTATCTGTACTTTCGTATCGTAGATATTTTCAGATAGGTTTTTACATAACAAATTGGTCAGAGCTGATTTCTTCCAGCAAGATAGCAGTGTAAGCGCCAACGTAAACACATCAAGTAATGCCGTCGGAACCTCGGAGAAGAGTGCCGCGGGAGGAAGCACGGGAGGAGTACGCTCCAGTCAAGTATCACTCAGCTCCAACCCGGACCTGGATTTTAGATATTCCGCTATCTTCACAGAAGTAGCTTTTTATAGAGGCCGATTACTCGCCGTGAAACGTGTCCGAAGACACCACATCGATATCAATAGAGAAATAAAAAAGGAACTTAAAATTGTGAGTATTAATCATGATACTTATCATACATTTTATAACATCTGCAAAAGTTGTATCTGTTTCATAGAGTATTAGATAAAATGATATTAAATTTCTTAAAATTATTAACATAGCATTGAACGCCAAATTTTTAATACACCTTCTAAATGTTTATTTAGATACCATCTAAACAAATCTATCACAATATTTTACGAATAGTTCCCCCTACTCATGCTAACGTGACAAATATATAGACAAATCGCTCCTGATAAACACCAAAAATTTATGTTCCAATCTTTCATTTCTAACAGCCGCTTCGATAATGGTAAACGCCGTTAATAAACCTACGCGTCTCCTTTCCTGCTAAATTCGATGCTAATTTGTACCCTCACCACAAGAATTTGTACCTGACTAGGTACCCCATCAGAGATTACAATAATAATTATTTATTTAATTAGGCATGAAGTACATTGTAGTAGTAACGTTCAAATAAATTATATAAATACACAAACCATTCAAATAAACAAACGTGACAAATTCGGGTAAAAAAACTTCTATTCTCACCACATATACCTACATTATTTTATGCCTTTATAATTTTCAACGCTCTTAATTAATATATTTAAATTATCACATCTAACAATATACCAAATGTTTTATTAAGGTGAAGAAATTTGGAACTAGAACTAAGTAAGCATTGCTCCAGCTTTGCCTTACTCTAATATTTTAATGACCTTATAAATTTGTCACGTCTTTCTTGTTTGTTTGTTAGGAAAGTCATAAATTGAAAAAAAGATTTTTATATGTATATTTTAAAATAAATTTACTTTGCTCCTCTTAATAAAGATGAATCGTTTCTGCAATTACAGCTTATACTCTAATTTTTATAGCGACAATTCATTTTATAAATAAAATTGGGTATAACATTTTAAACACCTTCATTACTTTTTATAAGTATCTAAAGATTTACATACTTAATTTTATTCCTGACATTTCAAGGTAGATTACATCGCATAAAAAAATAATGAATCTCATTCGATATAACAATTAAGACAAATAAAAATTTCGTAATTAATTAGTGACTACTCTTTCTAATTCGCTAAATATTATTTACGTCATTATTAAAAAAAGCTTTTTACATTTTCTTGCTGTGTTTATACGAATTTTTAAGGGTAGTATTATTAGCCTTACATAGTCTGAATATTTAATTTATTCAATCCTATCTCAGTAATATCATCAAAAAATCTGAAATGTTATGAAACATGCAAGTACAAACTTAGTTTTTAAAGAAAATAGTTTCAGCTAAAGTTTACATACGTTGAACTTTACAACTTAATCATAATAAAATTAATATTTTCGACTCCAGATGATTTTACGTAATTAAATAGTTAAAAATCATTTTTGTATGATTTGTACTTTAAAGATCTGCAACAAATTGATACCTTTAATTTATTACAAATGCGTAATATATAATATAGTGTCTTTAAAAATTAACACCTTTAACATTAGTAATAGTGTTTTTATTAAAAAAAGGTTAACTAACGAATACGATTATCGATGTAAAATAATTAACTAATTAGGATAAAATACAGTGTATTTGTCTGAAATAAAGGCTATTAACATATATACACTTCCTGAGACCACGAGGTACCTTAAAACCTCATACATACATAAATATTTGTATTTGGTGTATTTATGAATTTTGTAACATTTATATGCAAAGTTGGTAATATAGAGGGCATGACATGATACCCATCGCTCTGCAGTTCAATCTATCAAGTGACATTGGAGATCGTTGAACGAGGTCCTCTTGTCATGTTAACACAGCACGTCTTATATTCTAGAATTTTCCGAACCGTTCCTGTGTAAACACAATATAGTTACTGTATTAATAATATGCAGTACTTGGAGACGATTACGTTTTGAGTGTCTAGTGTGGTTTTAATATAGATACGTTACTACTGCGTTAACATTTATGTCGATAATTTGTACTTATTACAATTTTAACTGTGTATTTACAGATGGTTTCGGAATATCGGATTTCCTTATAAATTACACAACACTTCAAACTCTACCTCCTTATATTTTCGGATTCTATTCGTTTTTATCTCTCGTTATCTTCGCGGCAAATCCCTTGTGAAATAGATAGTGAGAATCGAGTGCTAAAGACCTCTATCCTTACATATATCTTGCTCCCTGCATTTTCATAACTTGTCTCTTTGCACATAAGCTGGATCCGAAGACTCTTGACTCCTCCTTTAGAAAGAACACGATCTATCTAATCATAATAGGTTAGTCTAGTCGTTTGTCTAGGTTTTAAGATATTGAAATACGTCTTAAAGAAAAATATTAACAAGCTTTCGATATTAAATAAAACTTCTAGCTACTCTGCAAACTATATACTTATATACAAAAACATAATAAATTACTTACATTTATTATACTGGGTATACATACCTAAACGAGACTTACCTCCCAATAACCACATTCGTAGCACATAGTCAACAAAATATTTCAGAACCTCGCATGACGAAGGAACTAGCGGAGATAAATGGCTGCCATTTATTTGGCTTTACTATAATACCACAGGTAGAAATAAAAACAAATAACAGGATTATTTGTTTCATTGCCCTTTTTATCCTTAACTCAGCTCTGTACATCCATACAATCAGCTGAAACACAAGTTAATTTAGTGATTCCGAGCGTCTTTTAAAGATTAGATACTTAGAGAGCAGTCTTTACATTTTGATTAAATAAGCATATTTAAATAAGTAGAGACTAGAAACTTTACAAAATAGCTTTACCTATTGGTTCACAATGGTAACATGTTTAAGTAAACTTGAATCGACCTCCAGAAGGAGGAGAACCACATGCTGTCTCATATTACTGGACTGGAGGATAATAAATCAGTGGACTAGATTGTATTTGGCTTAGTTTTGCGATTGTTTTTCCTTTCTCTCTCTCTTTCTCTCTCTTTGTTAGCTATTGTTCAATCACTGCAGGATATAAACATCCTTTAATGCATACTTTAGATAGCTTTAGATTTTGCTAGGATAATTAGGTAATGATTGCTAATCGATTTCTAAGAATTTATAGTAAAAACATGTTATTACTGTAAAAGCACAGAGTATCTAATAAAAAGTATCTACTGTAAAATTATCACTATATGACTATCTATTTTTAGTTAAACAATAAATAGCCAAAACCTAATCAAACTCAACACCTACCTTAGGAATAACGAACTATCGGCAGCTCATAATATATGCTGTGATATTTATATAGATCATCATACTAAAATTAGAAACTAGTGAAACTTCATAGTACTTAGAAACGTCGGTAACTAATATTTAACATATCTACCTATCTAATCTAAATAAGCTTCGATGAGTAACGTTATTCAGCTTATCTAAGTACCTGCAGTTGATACAAATAAACTTCATGTGTAATCTATAACATTTAGCAGATACTTAATATACTTTTTTACCTATTTTAGTAAAAATTTGGAACTTATAATAATACTGTCTTATAATGCAATGAAGATTTGAAAGATAATGGTATTTCTTGGTTAATTATCTACCAGAATTTATCAGAATTAGAAATCAGCTATCAGGGTATCACATTTTAAACAACAAAGGGTAATTATTTTAAAAAGGACTTGCGATCGGTCCTGGAAAAACATTCCGAGCTAAGTGATAGTGTTACTACAAAAACATCGTTAATTTGTTCAGGTGCAGAAAGTATATGTACTTACTCGTTCTCCAGTTCGAACTAAGCAACTCTACCCTATCTTTAAATGACAAAATGCTTTCTTATGTCAAAGTTACACACAAGGAGTGATTTTTGATAAATCGAAACGTTAATCTTAATTATGTATTTTTATTTTCTATTCTATGTATTTAAGTAATTACACATATACGACATGAACGATTTATCAAAAGAGAAACCTGATAGACTATATTAATGTGTTGTTTACGATTATTTTTCAAAAAATTATTGAAAAGAATATTGTATTTTTATATTTTTCTGTTAAAGTGTAATTATTTATTATACTGTGAAAACTTAAAATATTAACAGTTATTTAGAGAAAAGGAAAGTCCATTGTATAAATAATAATAAAGTCCATTACTTAGCTGTATAAATATAGATATATTTATTTTTATAAATATTTATATAGATATTAAAAAATAAATTGTTTATATCATGTATATAGGTTATATGTATGTTTGTTTCTACAGATGAGGGATCTGCAACACGACAATGTGAACGGCTTTGTGGGCGCGTGCATTGAGCCACCGAATGTATGCGCACTCTCCGAATACTGCACTAGGGGTAGTCTTAAGGTATATAAGATTTATTATAATCTTTACAAAAAACACTTTTACTGTTCTATAATGTTTTTTCTTATATTGATTGGTAAACAATTTGACAGTACACTTAATGGGAAGAAATAAACTGTTAACGGTCGATACCCAAAATATAGAATAAGAATACAAGTATCTCTAAATATTCATGTAAATACTGGTTGCAACATAGCACGTCGATTCCGAAGTAACTCAGTTTAAGAAACTAAATTACTGAAATATACATATTTTAAGTGCTTTATGATGTACTCAGTGTTGTACTTGTTTGTAGGATATTCTCGAGAATGAAGACATCAAACTCGATAACATGTTTCTCGCTTCCCTCGTTGGTGATATAATCAGGGTAAGTAAGTAAAAATACTTTATATACGTAACCCTGCATTTGTAAATTCTAAATTAATAATATATTAGATTGAAAATTTACTTTTTAATTGTTTCGATGGGATTTGAACCTACTCCCTCTGCTGTCCAGGCTAAGTGTGTTCATGGTATAACTAAGAAAACACTCAACCCGGAAAGCAAATACATGTACGTTCAAATCCCATCAGATCGAATACAAACTATAGATATAGATAATTTAGGGAAAGCCTTGTCTACACTAGTGACCTGTACAGCTTCGCATGGATAAATAGATAGAGCTCTTATTTTTTTAAAATAAAATATAGCCCATATTACTCGTTCATAACATAGCTTTCTATAGATGAGAGATCAATTAAATAATTTTTGAATTTAAGTTTAACAAAGAAATTAGATGTTTTTTCTTTGTAATATTAGATAAAATAAATATATATGCCTAGCACATTTTACATAAATGTACCAAGCATATTTAATAACAATTTCAATATCTGTATGTTTTTTTATATTTCCGCAACCAAAAATACTGTACCAATTTATTTATAAGCTTGATGAAAACTGACTGACGACAATCTTGAAATCCAAAAATAAATGACTGACATAATGTAAAAAAATCATTTTAACGAAATATCGTTACAAAGGATATATGTACTTAAAAAATCGTTTCTCCTGACCGATTATCAAATCGAAGTCTAGAAGGCTACAATTTGCAACATAGGTTCATTCTATGACATAAAACATTTGCTAAGAAAAGATTTTTGGAATCTTCAACTTAAATGGGAAACACGACACCGTTCATATAAAGTCGCAAGCAACAGCTAGTATATCATTTGTTCATTAAATAAATATAATGAAAGGTATCATGGACGACACAGTATACTCTGTTATGTTCATAGTACTGCTCATGTCTATAGACGACGTTTACCACTTTCCATTAGATGGGCCAATAGCTCGTTTGCCATTCTAAGTTGCATCAAAAAAATTAAAATTAAGTAAATCACAAAACTGTAAAGAAAATTATAAAAATGTAAAATGTCAAAGCGCGAAATTTTAATAATGTATTTTATAAGTTATTTTCATCATACGATTTCAGACGCTAGGGAAATACGATGCTCCTGCTCCTTTCCAATATTTTTATTATTTTCTAACTAAACATAAAATACAAATATATATAATCTAATGTATTACTATCAATTATATAGTACCCACAGAATAGTATTTGCGATTAGATATTCGTTTTAATTATAATTAATAGTTTACACAATTAATATATAGCGCGATATCATTGATATCTCTTCCAAATTCCTAACTGTAATAAGATGTTCCAGGGCATGATATTTATCCACGAATCGCCGCTTCAATACCACGGGGCACTGCGACCGTCCAACTGTCTTGTTGACGCACGATGGGTCGTCAAACTAGCTGACTTCGGACTTAGAGAATTCAGAAGAGGAGAACTACCACCTTCTGAACCTAATAGTTTACGATCTCATATAGAAAGTGAGTTTCAACTCTAAAAATCCTTACTGATGTTATAAATGTTAAAATGAGTTTATTTAATACCATTTGGCGCTTTTACGACTCTATTAATCATCATGAAATTTGGTATAATCGTACTATTTTGAATAGAGAAAGACACAGGCTACTATTTATTTTGGGGGAAGAGATTGTAAGTAATGAGGATTAATCGTCGTATAGCTAGTAGTTCACCCTACCAAGTCAACATCCAGGTGGTCCCCCTGAAAACCGTTGTGGTAAATTTATCATATTAGGCCAACATACCTGGTTTCACGAGGGAGAGAAGATAGATGAGAATCTATCTTCTCTCACTGGTACCCTGCCAGTGTACACTGATAGTACACTATCGATAGTGTAGGATCGATCCATTTTCAGTCCATTAAAAATTATATCCCGTTGAATCAATATGTTCCGGTCACGCGGACGAAATCACCTGTAAAAAGCTAGTAATTAATAAGCAGTTAACACTTAGGTGTTTTTTATAATTACGTTATTTCTTATAATTAGCGTCCATACGAAAAAAAAATCTATTACATTATAACCCTATTTATTCTCACATTTTAATATTATTTTATAACTACGTATAACTATCGCCATGGCGCGTGAATTAGAATAAAAAGTATCATAACATAGTATGTTACTCTACAATGTGACCTGTCTACGTACCAAGATTCATTCGATCGCTTTCACAGTGTGATTAAGTAAACACTACTATCTTTACAAACTTTATAATTACAACAGTAAGATAAATTTAATATCTATTTTCTTCAATGTTATTGCAGGGATATTTTCTGCAATGGTATAAGTTTTGTTCCACTTATCTGAAGAACAACAACAATTAAACTCGTTCCCAATATACCTAACATATTGCTAATATTATACTTCTTTCATTTATTTCCTACAAAATCATCCAAGTAATCTCTTTATCTAATAAAAGTTTATTACACTTATCTGAAATTATTTTCTACAGGACGAACCAACAAAGGGGATATTTAATAGTTATAGCTCCATAAAATCCTTATTGGCTTATTTCCTCACAATAATGCAGAAATTCTGAACAATTTGTTGATTATAGCTTTATTAGATATCTGTCATTATTTATCCATAATCATAAGTATAAATAAAATCCTTCTTCTTGTGCTATATACTTTTGTAGTAGGTTCCTTACCCTCTCTCTTATAGACAGGTGCGACGTGGGTGAATCTAATTATAATGCTATTTTATCTAGAGTTACAAGAAATATAATTATATTATACTACAGTAAGAATATTGCTATTTATCTGTATTCCGTTACCGTTAGTATGCGTGGTACTGCTATTATTTGAGGATTGACTACTATTATTATTAGTAGTCAGTTCTCAAATGTTAATTGTCGCACGAATACTAATGGTAGCGAAATTTAACAGAATAACATCGACCCCTTAGCTAGACACAGGACTTTCCATGTAAGAGGAGTATGTAGCTTGCTATTCATTATCATTATCATATCAGCCGTTAACTGTCAACTATAACTATTTTCAGCAGTGGACACACTGCTGAATATAGGCCTCCTACATAAAGGGAAATTTTTCCAGTAGTTGCTACGCTTGGCAAGCGGGTTGGCAACTGCAATTAGGCTTTGGTGATATTTTAAACGCTGCGAGCTTTTAAATGGTCCCTCGACAATTAAGTCCCCTTAGGAAGGGGTAGCCTATTCTATGGCGGGACCCCACGGTAACCTACTATCAACCTACTATTATCTTAACCTAAAAATCTCCTACCAACAAACAAATCTAGACAGAGCTATACATTCTGAATTGTCGTGTAACATATTAATTGTTTAGACATCCTAAAAGCGTTGGACTAACTGGTTGTTTTATTGCACTCTGCTGCTACAATGTTGCCCAAATGGCTTGGTACAAGAATTATACAATTAAATTTAATTTCCTTTTATTACGTGTCTTGGTGCCTTTCATGACATCTTGAATGTAATAACATTAAAATATTCCTACTTTATCGCCATACTATGAGTAATCCATGCTACCACAACAATATTAAATTAGAATCTTTGCTAACGAAACATTTCCTTCCATGAAGGACAAAATTCTGCAGAAATTTAATTAAAACTTACCATTTCTAATCTCCTCAAAAATACTTCATTCCATACCGTTATGAATACAATTTCTGTCCAGATTTAATGTACTTATCACCGGAGCTACTCCGATCAGCGGGCTGGGGCAAAGATGTGTATCCGATATCCGAAGAGCACCAAGACGGTTCTCCAGCCTCGGATGTATACGCATTTGCTCTAGTCCTGTACGAGCTGCATACGAGACGCGGCCCATTTGGTCCGGACGCTCCGCCTACACCTACGCTACTGAGACGAATTGCTGTGCCCGACCATACACCTTACAGGTAGGTACGTGTCAACCTCTTGGGTTACATTGTACAACATGAAATAATAAAGGAGACTGGTTTTTTTTGTAATGGATGATAATGGAACGATAACGGAACGATAACTCCTGTGAGCTAACTGTATACACTAGCGGAACACCAGAGAGGGATGGTAGATGAGAATGAAAAGCCAGATCAGTGAGCCTATCATGATAAATACGCCTGTAATTTAACATGATGGTTTCCAGAGGGACCAAGTGGAAATCGATCTGACTGATATATTGCCAACAATGGCACTGGTAGTCTGTCTTACTAACAATCCCTTCCCTCGGGGAGGTGACTGTTAATAACAGGGATTAGGGGCCCCTTGCTTGCAATATAACCTGTAGGTTCCCCTCCACTCGGTTCCATAGAAACCACTGTAGCTAATTCCTGATAAATTCATCACAATGAGCTAACTGATGTGCCTTCATTATGTATCTACTAGCGAAGGCAAAAATACCTTTTCATGTCTCAAAAATCTAATAATGGTATTTTAACATTTTGCTCTCTCTATCGCCAAGTAGATATTGATATGTATATTGGATATAGATATATCCACTTTTAAAATCATTTTTAATATATAGATATTTGCTTTTTTCAAAAAGTTGTATTTCAAAAGGTCAAATCGAGTGTTATGTTTATTACAATGATCAGCATGACATGAATTATTCAACTTCGGAAAGAGCTTAATATCTTTCAAATAAAAAATTGTAAGCTAAATACTCGTAAATCCTCACAGGAGTTGACACTTCATCTGCGATTAAGAACCATAGTAATATATTTATTTTTATGTTTTTGGAAGGTACTAATAGCTGTTTTACTAAAACCAAAATACATTCACAGTAAACCAGTGGTTGTATACAACTCTTATGTGACAAATAATACAAAAGCCATTATTTTTATTACAAACTTGAGCAAAAACCAACAATAATATATTAATATAAGAAATATATGGTACTCTTATACACTTCAAGGCCACCTCTGGAACCACTGACGGGACGGTTCGATTGTGTGCGCGAATGCTGCAGCGATTGCTGGACCGAGGATCCCAGTGTCAGGCCTGACTTCAAAGCCATACGCACCAGGCTTCGACCACTGCGGAAAGGGATGTATGTATACCAAGTGCTTTTTTGAGGTGTAGTTCTTAATGAAATTAGTATGTAATGACCGAAACCTAAGTACCTAAACTATAATATATCTTTTTTAGGAAAGCTAATATATTTGATAACATGATAGCTATGATGGAAAAATATGCGAATAATCTAGAAGCACTCGTTGATGAAAGAACAGACCAGTTACAGGAGGAGAAAAAAAAGACTGGTAAGTTACTTCTAAGACCAATAATAATTTTCAAACACTTCATATTTAAAACTAAATATGATATATTCACACTTACCTAAATTTATTACACAATATACAGAATAGCTTCCTACTTTAAAATATGTACGTAAATGATAATTATTTACAAAGTATTTTTATAATACAAATGTAAATTTATTATTTTAATCGTAATTATAGTCAGGTTTACTTACGTATATTTATCAAATATTCCTGAATACTTCACTTTCGGGAATGTGCGGGACCCGTATCCACTTAAGAATAATGGCTAAAATGGCTGTTTCGGTTTGAATGATGAGATAAGGTATTGAAGTGTTTGGCACTGAAACAATATAATAGTCGTCGAGGATGTTTTGTAACATATATGGTGTACAATGGGCATCATAGTATATTCTGCGATGTGAATGCTGCTTTTCTTGTCTAAATGCGACAGATACCACTTCCTATCGGATAGGCCGTAAGCCTGTTTATAAATTCAAATATATATAGTCATTGGATATAAGTTAGATTTGTATATTTTTTTATCTTCATGCACACAATAATTTTAATCTTCTACAGAGGCACTGTTAGAAGAAATGCTGCCAGCGCCAGTGGCGGATCAACTTAAACGCGGGCGACGAGTAATGCCCGAAAGTTATGATTCCGTCACTATTTATTTCAGCGATATCGTAGGGTTCACAGCCATGTCGGCGGAAAGCACCCCGCTTCAGGTACTGTCACCGATAGCATCACTTGGATACTTAACAGTAACATATAAAATAAACATAAACCCTGATGGAGGATATTTTTATAGCATGAAGATGATGAATTTTTTAATAGGTGATAATGGAATGGTAACCCCGCCTGTGCTATCGGTATACGCTGGCGGAGCACTAATGAGAGATAGGTGAGAATGAAAACAGATCAGTTGGCTCAGCGTGACAAATTCATTGAAAATTAACCACGATGGTTTTCAGGGGAAACTGCGTGGAGGTCGACCTGATAGGATGTATTGCTAACAGACCCCATTACTAACAATCCCTTTCCTCCTATATGACGAATTAGGTCAGTTTATTGGTGACAAATTCGCCAGAAATAAATCACGATAGTTTCCAGCAGGACGGTATGAATATCGACCCGACAAAAAATATTATTGTTAACAATGAGGTTGCTAGTTCCCATTACCAACATTTTTTTCTTGTCCCACCCGTTGTCATCCATCTTAAAATATACAAAGTGTAGCCACCTTCACTTGCATTATTAACCCTTAAAAGCCTAATTTTTTAAATCAAATTAAAAAATATATAAGTGTACCCTTTACTGTGTTTACACATATGATGTTTACACATATAATGGGGAAAAATAGTAAAAAAAAATCAAAGCGATATTTTTATATATTTATTTTGAAAAAACATTTGGTAACATGTAAACAGCCCAATATTAAAATAAAATCGATTGTAGGCGCCCAATCCAATTTATAACTCCGGTATCAAATTTGAAACTTCAAGTATTTAAGGGTTAATCTGATCGTACTTTAACTGAACTAGATTAAGGTTTTATTTATATGTAATTAACAATAATTTTGTATTATTTAATTGCAGGTTGTGGACTTTTTAAATGATCTATATACATGTTTTGATTCTATTCTTGAGAATTTTGATGTATATAAAGTGGAAACTATTGGTGACGCTTACATGGTTGTAAGTACGTTACATATGTATTATAGTTTATTTCAATAGAACGTAATGAAAATTTCATTTTCAAAACGTTCATCAATCAATTTATCGAATTTTTATTTGTCCTATTATTAAATATCAGCAGACTGACAGATAGTCTGAACAATTATTCGTTTTTATATTAAGTTCTATTTAAAAATATTATTTATAATAGTTAATTACCTATCTGCTATAACTGTGTAAAAGTGAAATATGTTCAAATATATTTAATATTAATTTTCGTGTACGATATTAAATACTTTTGACTAATAAAATTTAGCTACACACTACCAAAGTGAGCACCTATCTATTTTTTGTACCTTTTCCATATTAATTTTTTATGCACTATTATTTATACGAAATGAATCGTACATCGATTCACATAAAGCGGTTTTTAACCAACCAGGTGTCAGGGTTGCCAATCCGTAACGGAATCGTGCACGCGGGAGAGGTGGCGTCTATGGCGCTGGCGTTGCTCGCCGCCACCCGCGCCTTCCGCGTCCGCCACCGGCCCGACCAGCGGCTGTTACTACGAGTCGGCATACACTCTGGTATCAATCATCCTTATATCAAGTTTTAGCTCCTGATTATACTACAAGAAGATGGGTATTTTAGTCCCCATTGCTAGTAATATACCCTTATCAACCTTCAGACAGAAACCATCTCTTCCTTGAAAATCATCACGGTTAATTCTTTGTAAATTAGCAACGACGGACTGACTAACCTGAATCCTCACCTTCATTGGTATCCCACCAGCTTAAAACATTCCATTATTATCCACATAACCAGGCGAGGTTACCATTCCATTATCATCCATAAAAAAAAATACACATAATAGTGGTAGTATTTTTTTTTATGTTCTAGGTCCAGTATGCGCAGGAGTCGTAGGTTTGAAAATGCCAAGATATTGTCTTTTTGGAGACACTGTCAATACAGCCAGCCGATTCGAGTCTACTGGAGCACGTTAGTTTCATTGCCTACCTAAACGTTACAATTCTTTCGTAACTTCGTAAATTTTATCTATTTATTTCATTTCAGCTTTAAAAATCCACTGTAGCGCCGCGTGTAAATCTCTACTCGATCAACTGGGAGGATATATTCTGGAAGAGCGAGGAATAGTATCTATGAAGGGAAAACGCGATCAGATCACGTACTGGTTGCGTGGTGAGGAACCCGCTGCGGCGGCCGCGCGAGCCGCCCGCCGCACACAAAAAGAAGACGTTCAGCCGATTCCCACCGAAAAACGCGGCCAACGTAGCTCACTTAAAAGTAAAAATTGGAAGAATCATGTTGGAGGATTGCACAGGTAATAACATGTTTTAAAGATGTGTATAATTCCATTTTATTTCCTAATATTTTTATATTAGACAATAAAATGGAATATATCCTGATATAATGATAATTTTGCTCCAGATGCTGCAGTTTAGAATCTCCGAAAAAGTTGAGGTTCGCATCAGGAAATCACCTAGAATCACACACAGACAGTGTTCTACACCATAGGAGCGACGAATATCTTATGGAGGTATTTTTCTCTTGTTAAATTAATTTACAAATATGTATTAGATCAGTATCTAAATAAATACCTCATTCTCACTCTGGTTTCCATAAAAAGTAAAACTACTAGATACAGAGCAGACACCCTAATCCTCAGAAAATCAAGAAAAGTCAATGTTACTTTGATGTCCATGACGCTCTACATATCTGTACTTATACAATTGTATCGTCAAGTTTGTAAATTGCCTTGCTTATTTCCTATATTGTATAATGCAAATAAAGTATACTAATTCATTCATTCATCTATGGATATATGAACTGTATCTATTTCTCAACACATAAGCCGTCAACTTATTTGCCATCGTAATCACCAAACAACCCGATAATTCGACAGGTAGTGGGCGAGGGTCGACTAGCGCCGGCGCAGCGCGGCGATTTGTTAGAAGCTCCCAGCCTCCGACACGAGTACACGAGCGTGTCGTGTCCCATCATTGAGCAGGCAGAGAGCTGCGTGTCGCGGTCGCCGCCGCCGCGGTACCCGTCGCCCGCCGGCGGACACCGCCTTGTCGACTCCGCAGACCTCCCTGAGCCCGACGTCAAGCTCGTCATCAACGGCTGCACTTACAATGAAAGCGATGGAGCGGGCATACCGCTCCTCGCTGACACGTGAACGAGCTCGCGTGTCGTAGTATTCAGTAGCGATTCACACTAGTCAATGGTTTAGTAGATCTGTAAATTATATATGTTCAACGTAGTTGCGCTCTCTATTCGACACTGCCACGATAATTATAGTGAGCAAGGCCGTTTTCTGAAGAAATCTGTAGTGTCTGAACATACGAAGACTCGGTTTGAGCGGATTAGATCTGATCGTCTCGACTTCGTTTGGTCCGGACTTAGCATTAATGTGATCTATGTCAGTATTATTAAGAAACCTATATTCAATAGAAATTATTTAATAACATTAAACTCTTATTTCACAATTCACGGTAACATCGTTTTACTTACACATATTATATTTACAACATCATTTCATATACACATAAACTAATATACATTTATATGGATTAGGACATTTAGACCAACAAAGCACGAATTTCTTAGAGCCTCGCGCACTAACGGTCCTGCGACTGGTTACTATGGGCGGCCAAGCAATGTACTGTCATACCGATTTCATGCGGTTCAATGACGACAATCATATAATTAATCCGCGGTCCAGCCACGGCGATCAAAGAGTTGAATCACAATCCAGCGGTAGAAATTTTACGGCTGAATCGCGATTCAGCAACGACCGCATGGCTGACTCGCGATCCAGCAACGATCACACGGCTGACTCGCGGTCCAACAATGATGATCCTATTACAAAAACGCAGTCCAACTGCGATGATCACACGGCTAGCTCGCGATCCAGCAATGATGATCCCATTACAAAAACGCAGTCCAACTGCGATGATCACACGGCTAGTTCGCGATCCAGAAATTATGTTCCCATTATAAAACGCAATCCAACTGCGACGATCACACGGCTAGCCCGCGATCCAGCAATGATGATCCCATTATAAAATGCAGTTCAACTGCGACAATCACACGGCTGGCTCGCGATCCAGCGTCGGCGGTCACACGGTGGACTTCCGGTCCAGCGACAGCGGTCACACCGCAGACTCGCGGTCCAGCAGCGGCGGTGCGCGTCGCAGCGACGAGCTACTACTGCGGGTTCCGCCTCCAAAGAATCCAAGCAGCCACGAGCGGATCGCGAACCGGGGGTTTTTGCGGAGATCGCCCTTCCCGTCGGCGATGTTCTCGAGCGAGCGCCACTTCTTGTAGAACTCGATGTAGTTCGCGTCGTGCACCTTCCTCTTGGGGCGGTCGAGCTTGTTGTAGAGACTGCAGTTGCGCAGCAGCGGGCTGTCCTCGGTGCGTGCGTCATCGGTGACGATGCCGATGATGGTGCCGTTAAAGACGGGGTCGCCGGAGACGGTGGAGACGGGCACGTCGGCGTCGAGCGAGCGCGTGGTGTGGTGGCGGCGGATGCGCGGCTCGCGGCGCGCCGCCAGCACGTCCAGCGACTGCGCGCCCCGCAGCGGCGCGCCGCCCGACCGCTCCGACCCCGACCCGGAGCCCGAGCCCGAGCCCGAGCCCTCGCCCGCCGTCGACGACGCGATCGAACTCAACGCGTTCCTGCACAATTATGTTTGATCGGTTAACACGTCATCGTCGTGGATCAATAGACGCAATATACCACATACTAGATAGCATAGCAATGCGCTTGCAATTTTTTACACGAAAAAAAAAGTGATATTTTGGCATAAAATGCGAAGAAACGTTCTTTGGATACAAAGAATAAAAAGGTGCAATTACTCAGTGTAATCTGTAATGTGCATTATATTTTATTCATTTCTATAGGCAATAATGTCTGTTTATGCATGCAGTTGCCGTTGCATAAGCTCTATTGTTTGCAGCAGTTGTTCCAATATATAAAATTAATAAAAAAAAAAAAATTCTTCGACCCTAAAATTATAAAACTTATAAGAGATATAACCTGGCACGAGACGTATGGTCGGAGCGTGGACGACGCGCAGTCAGCACTTCCTCAGCGGCGGACATGGGAGCGGCAGCGGAGGCAGTGGCAGGCACGGCCGCGAGCGACAAGCGGGAACCCCTCGCACCCGACGAGCCGCCCGTCGACCGCGTGGCGCTCGCTACGCGCTGCCGCATGACGCCTCCGCCGACACTGCCGCCGCCACCAGCACCTCCTTGACAAATCAGTGCACTTTTATAACACGTGCATGGGTTACATTCTTAGTTCACGCCTTTTATAGATTTTTCCTAACAGTCTATATACAATAGGTATGAATTTAATACTATGGATAATGTATGTATACTTTATAATACTTACATATACATACATTATTGTCACATTAGAGCGCATGAAAGGAAACGGTAAAACTCGCCGTTGTCGGACACACGGCATGAAGAACCACAGATACATTATTGTAAGTATAATATAAAATATATGGAATGAGAATAAAACGCTAAATAAATATTACATTCAATAAAAAAATTAACATAAAATATACACGCCTATCATAGTTTCAATGCAGAAATATTATTTTTGGCGAAACAACGTCATGCCAAAATAATACAATATAGATACTCAGAAATATACAGGTAGAAGCTAAATTTCAAAACACGTGATATGTTACGATATATACGTAATAAACATTTTATCTAAGTATATACCTGAAACCGATGGGTGTCGAGAGTCTGCCAATCTGGGACTTCTTCTTGGTCGGCAGAATAGAGGCCGTTCCTCACCTTCCACTTGTCTCTTTTGAATAGCTTTTTCTGTAGCGCCAACCAACCAGTATGTCTGTAACTGAAAAAAATTAAACTATTAAAAAGTTGTTAAAGACAAATATTATACTATTTACACATTAAAAATATTTTTATTTATATTTCATTGCGTAAATTTAATATTTGTTTGACATACGAACAATACTATCATGTACATACTTATCTTAAAAAAAAAATTAAGTCAGCTTAAAAACTGAAAATTCACTAGCAGACATATACGAGTATACATATTCACTTGCTTTTATCGACGACTTCGTTCGTGTGATACGAGATTTTTTTCATGCGACTTAGAATGGCATATATACTGATGCCCAAGTGGCAACCATCGTCTGTAGACATGAAGCATGGATGAATGAAAAAATAAAGTACCATCGACATAATAGAGTATACTATGTCGCCCATGATTCCTTTCATGCGTTACCATTTCTGAGGACTAAAGTGTTATGCCTCTGCACCCTGTAATTGTATTACCATATTCCACCCTTCATGCCGAAACACAGCCATGCAAACATAACTTACCACTACAACATAACCATACAAATATAACTACTTCACGGCAAAAACACAAATGGGGCAGAGGTACCTAAGTAATCCAAGACGACTTTTGTACAAAATCTCCCTCTGGTAGGTTCATTATGTTCGTTGAATGGGATAAAACTAGCTTTTGTCCGTCTCTCGATCTCATATAGCAGTTATGAAATTATGTCTACAGTACTAATCCATATAACCAATCCTTGAACTCGCTTTCACATTGATTTAATTACTAAGAATAGTCAATAGAAAATCCCTAATTGAAAAACTTACTTGTCCCTTGCCCTTGATAGGAATAGTGCCTCTAGGCTCGACGATATACCCGCCGATCTTATCAAGCGCTTGCTTACAGCTAGGTGATATGTGTATACGCAACGGTTCCCCGTTCGATTCCATTCGGGACGCTGTGTTTACTGTGTCCCCAAATAAACAATATCTAGGCATTGTCAACCCAACTACTCCTGCTACCACAGCTCCTAAAAATACAATCATTGTCAATACATAGATAGATATAATAAATAAATAATTGATTACTACAAATTATTATATAGCTACACATAAACAATGTCTAAATCCTAGATTACCCATCAACTTACTTAACACCTCTTTCAGTCAAGTATCGTCATTACCATGCAGCGTACCGGCGTGTACACTTGAGACGAATTATAAAAGCGGATGAAATAGAAAAAGTATATACACATAGAACTTTTGACACTCGTTTCTACCCGCCTACCTCATAAAAGACTTGGCATGAAGATAGATGTTTGAATGAGTCTCGACATTTCACATAACTAATTCTCACCACATCTTAAAACTACTCACAGTATAGTGTGTCATCATATCAATCGTTAACTAATCGCTGGTAAACATAGAACTCCTCCAAAAAGGGGGTTTTGCTAGTAATTGCCACGCTTGGTAGGCAAGTTGATAACTGCACTTAGTCTTTGGCAACAGGTAATAACTCAAATAATTTCGAAATAACTTTTGATGTTTGATTGAAAAGTATTTAAAACTGCTCTCAATACATTCTTTTAATTGATATTGTACCTACTCATTGAAATAACATATTTTGATAGCCGTTTGCAATAATACAGCCAAAACTATACATATATAATATATTGTAATGTAAAAACGCACCAGTGTGTATTCCTATTCTTAATTTTAAAGTTTCATTTGGTCTATGCGATATTTTGTGAGTCTTTACTGCGTTCAATAACTCAAGCGCCATTGATGCAATCTCGCCCACGTGTCTATCGTTGTTTCTTATAGGCAATCCTGATACCTAAAAACAATATTAATAAAAAATACATACATTTTGGAAAGAGCAATTAATAATTGAAAATATTTTGCCGACTACTGGATAGTGATAAACGCATCGCTTCGACTACATTTCTTCGAGGATATTGGAAAATAGTTATGGGAACCAAGCATAAAAGTCAACTACAACTACCGCATTGTAGGCGTAAGCGTATATTTTTTATATTAAGGCGTATTTTAAATATTTTTTTAACGGATGATAATGGAATGGTAACGCCGCCTGCGCTATCGACGCACTGGCGGGGCACCAGTGAGGGATGACAAGTGAAGATAAAGCAGATCAGTTAGCCCATCATGACAAATTTAACAATGAATCAATCACGATTGATTCCAGGGGAAATCGCGAGAAGGTCGACCTGATAGGATATATTACCAATAATAGAATTGCTAATCCCCATTACTAACAATCCCTTATCCCCCGGCGTATTTTATAATAGGTTAAAATGTTTTTTTATTAAAATAAGCTTAATTATAAGCATTCTAGAGGAATATTTTTTTAATATCTTCACTTTTTCTTTATCATACACAAAAGTCATCATGATAAGACTATAATTTTACAGAATGGTACACTTTTTGCTCCAAAAGACATTTGTTTCAGAAAAGTTTCTTTTAATTAGACTTCTAATTAATGACTTCTAACACAAGATGCGCATACACGCTATGTATCGGGTATACGCAAGTACAATGACAGCTGCATCATGTACATTCCTAATGAGGACAACTAAAACTGAAGATTAATTTAATTAATTAATAGCCTTAACTTAATTGTACTTTTTAAGAGTTAAAAAAGCACAAATGTTTTATTTATCCATCGACAGAACACTCACCACCATGTAAGCATCACCGATGGTCTCCACTTTATAAACATCATAGCCTCTTATAACCCTGTCGAAAACTGTATACAGGTCGTTGAGAAAATTGACGACCTGCAGCGGCGTACTCTCGGCGGACATGGCGGTGAAGCCCACTATGTCGCTAAAGTATATAGTCACCGAGTCAAAAGACTCCGGCTCTACGCCCTCGCCTGTCGTTAGCCGCCGCGCTACCGACCTGGAACAATCCATAATGATATCTCCATAGACTCCATATTGCCGGCTAATTATATCGGCATATTGTTAACAACATATTTTATAAAATACAAGATATTGTGTTAAACTACAATATACATGCTGAAACACGTTGATTTATTAATCATGTGATAAGGTATATTTTTATTGATACAATTTACAGTGCAATAATAGTAAATATAATACATAATTTCGCACGATGCTTCCGTTGACAAGTAAACCCACACTGCTCACGGGTCCGCCTAACCAATATAAAAACAATTCATATAGGAAACTCATTACAATGTATTAGTTCAATAGAAACTTTCTACAATATACATTACCTACACTACTGTACAATCTATTAAAACAGCATGCTGATCTATACGTAATCATTGAAATTACCAAGTGCAATAAATAGAAATAGTAAATAATAAAGTATAATAAATAACTGGCCGATACAATAGTCGAATAGCATGAAGACGCAAAGGAGTCGGTTGCAATAAGCTAAAAAAAAACTGTGAGACTATGTTGATTGATAGAATCGCCATCACCTTACAGGACGCGAAACACCATAACCATCACAATATCCCAAGCAAGCTCTACGCTACTAGTAACCTGTTAATGAAATAAGTGGGTTACTTATATCACATTGTCTTAACAAAAGGCAATGCGATGTTCACTCCTAAAATAATCGTGTAAGGCAAACCATATTAAACTACAATCACCAGTAGAGAGTTAATTACCTCAAGACATTTTCACGATATTTCTATAATGGATTCAACCTCCACATCTGTAAAAGAACACAAGTACAACAAAGTGAATACATTTACATTTTTAATAAGAGAATGTACCACTGTTTTACATCAAGTCCATGTCGATAATGTAAAATACAGTCCGATAAAGTTATATATTTTGTATAAGTATAAAAATTTTGCATATATTAAAAAGATTTTTTAAATATTTGTATTACGTCCTGGACGCGAATTTTTCCTAAGTACAAATTTTATGTAAGCAGGTGCATATTCTAATAAACTGAAAATTATCAATAATGTGCAAAATCTAGTGAAAACATAAAAAAATGATAATTTGGACTAAATGTAAACCAGCGCACACTACAACGTCGTCCAGGTAATTGACATATCTTGTTGTATTTGCGTCTTTCTTTGTTGTGCTCACATTAAGTCTACCGAACACGAGTTACACACCTTATATTAGTGACGAAACGGGAAGACAGGTTACACATAATACTAAATACTATTTTTAAGAACATTAAAGGATCGCTTACATATTGCATGCACATGTACCATTTAATTCCTCGACTTTATCTTCGCCTCACGTCACATACGAATTTCTATAACCTACGGACACTATAATCTACAGTTACGGACAACACACCTATTGAATAAAACGTAATAAAGTCGACCATAAACTTGATGTCGTGGACATACAACTCTCTTTAAAAATCTTCCTTGGATGACTGAAATGTATCCATGTTGTACTGAATACAAGTTGGTGGTCACCATGACCGTACTCACTTTGGTAGCATTCTATGTAATAAATCTTCTGTTTTCTGTTTCTCTTCTATCAGCAGCCTCGTCCTCTCTGTGACTAGTTCTTCTAAGTTGTTCGCATATTTCTCCATCATATCCATCATTTGATCCATTATATTTCGTGATCTGAGAATTTATCAATTAACCAATTATAGTTTATTATTCCAAACATAAGATATTTTAATTACTCTATTTTCTAATATTATTAATTAACGTTTATCATTTCATGAATAAACAATCGAATAACTGTACTATATATTATCTTTATCATAAAAACTAGTTTTTTTTAAGGGATTACATAATTAAAATTTCTTTTGACATATCAGATACTCACTTGCCAGATTTCATTTTCTTAAGGCGGCTTCTTATTGTAGGAAAATCAGGTCTGAGATTCGGATCTTCCGCCCAACAGTCCTTCATGAGAGCAATCACATAGTCCTCCGTAGTGTCCTGTATGATACTTGTATCGGGACGGAACACTTCTTCGCCGTCTAACTTTGATCTTTTGACGCGCTCCACGATATCTGTATAAAATAAACAGAGTAAATCATTTGAGGCTTTTGTTACTGTCTATCATCACATTATTTTTAACATGAAACTTTAAGAAGATATAACTAAAAGTATTTGAAAAACGTTTAAGAGAATCTACACAAATATATAATGTTTTAATTAATATAATCCCCTAAGATATTTAATATAAAATTCTGTATAAAAGACCTCACAGACAGAAGCTAGCATTACAATATCAAATCTTCAAATTTGGACCAGTTCTCATGGAATTTAGAATTATTTATGATATTTGAAATCCATTACTTGGAGCCACAGTCTGGCTCCACAAGTAGTTCAATAACAGTACCTTAATAATACACAAGCAATGCAAAATATGTTACCATCTTGAAATCCATAAACAACAAAATCTAACAAAACTATTTCTGTAATGTAAATTTGAAGTAAACTCAAGCCAAGACATGGATTTAATTGTCCAACCCAATATAATATTAAGAATTAATAAATAAATTATAAAATAATAAAATTAGAATACCTTTGGGTTCTAATGGAGTTCCACCAAAAGGTCCTCTTCTGGCAATTAATTCATACAGAATTATACCAAATGCATAAACATCACCCTTCTGTGTACCACCAACGGTACCATTTGGATTATCCAGTTCTCTTAGTAATTCTGGTGACTTCCATAATAATCCTAAAAAATTGAAACATGTTTTTTAAAATATAATGATATATGACATCAAAACTATATGTTTAGTATTGTTTTTATTCATAATGTATATAGCTTTTATTTCTATTAATAATAACAAAGTTAAAACATTATAAAATATGGAAAAAAAAACTACAATCACCTCTATAATGTTGATGCTCGCCTATGTATTCATTTTCAGCACTATAACGCAATTCGTGAAGACCAAAATCTGTAACCTATTAACGGAAATAGATAACATCATTTAGATACATACACACACACAAAAAGTTTATTTCAAATGTGATAACATCTATTACCTGTAGCATCCACCTGGATGTAACTACACAATTTGAGGACTTAAGATTCCCATGGAATATTAATGGCGAAGTATGAATAAACGTCATACCCTGCAACAAATTAAACAAAAAAAATTAAACTGAAAGCAACAACTAAACATGTAAATGAACGGCGCTCGTGTTTATTTTATACTATTTATAATATACGATATGCGCTGACAAAATGTTATATTTTATTGTAGGTAGTGTGTAAAAATGCTCTCAAATTATTTCTACAGTAAAAATTAAAGTATTTACCTTTATGAGATCATGAACCAATGACGATATAAACATCTTATCTAACTTTATATCTTCATTTTCAATTATATCCTGGAATAGAAAAAAAAATTACATTAAAATTTGTTAAATAACTTAATTACACATAATGCATTACATGACATATTTATAATCATCAAATGTGCGTAGCTATTCTCCATATACAGACTTGTGCACGCCAACGATAATCCATACATAAAAAAGCATACTATATAAATAGGTCACAGTATAATAATTTTAGATAAGCCCTATTTATAATAATTAAGAATCTCAGAAACGGTAACTAATTTCTTAAAATTATGGGCTACTATCCATGCCTATAGGTGACAATGAGCATTTTCCACATGATTGGACGTCAGCTTATTTGCCGTTTTGTTGCATAAAAAATCACCAAACATGACTATAAACAATTTATATTAGAAAGAAATATTTTCCACATACGAGTACATATGCACAATGATGTAAAAGGGGCAAATCGTAAACATATGTTAACATAATAACAGTAAGCACTTACATACAAGCTTCCTTTGGCACAATAATCAGTTATGAGTAACACCCGAACGGGCTCCACAACTGCGCCGATGAATGAGTTGAGATTATCGTGGCGCAGCTCGCGTAACAGCCGCATCTCCTTCATCACGTCACGGGAGATGTCCTGTGAGAATACCAAAACAAACATTTATTTACTGCGTTCCAGTTATCTTCTTCTACATTTATCTTCACAAATAAAAATGATACACTAAATGTCGTTCTGACCGCTAAAACACGAGAACTCAGACCAAAACGATAATTTTTTTTTAATTTTCATCTTCACCTATGAAAGGTTCTTATTAAGAGAAAGAGTTATCTGATAAAACGTAAAAGCTCCATTGTCTTTTCCCCATACAAACCGTTTCTAGCTGCAATTCAAACATGTTTAAGCTTATTTGCAGGCAGGAAGAATCAAATGTATTAATCCAATACATATTCTGTTAAGGAATCTGGCGTGAAGATAAAACATTAAAGATTCACAGGTGAGTAATTATATATTTAGCGTCGTGCTGTTTTTCTGACTTGGTAAAAAATCTTGGCTATTCTTACTGGTTTAGCTTAGCTATGCTTTAGTTAAAGTTATGTCTAAGTTGAACATATTTGCAGAACATCAATAAAATGGTTCTTATTTTAGTAACCACTTCCCATTAAATGGAATATATTTATAATATAAACACTTTATTAATACATACATGTTAAAATATTAAATTAACTTCTTTTTAAGCCTTACCTTCTTTTTGGAGAATTTTAACTCCTTAATCCTAACCACGTTCCCTTTATATTGTGCTGTAGTTGTAAAAATTTGTGTACAGCACCTGCTCTCGTATGACATACCACTTGCTAAACTCAGCTAAAAAAAATACAAATTTTTGATTAAAAAGAATTATAAGGTTTACATTACTTATATTAGTCATTGAGCAAACTTGTAAGAGATATTGTACTGCTTTCGATTGATTATTGAAAATGATTGTTTGAGACATTCTATATCCAGGACTGAGTAAATAAAAAAAAAAAAAATAAGAACACAAATACGACTTTTAGCTATAATTAGTAAATTAACATTAACGCTACTTACTTTACTGGGTGACCACACGAGCCCACTACCTAGGTATCCCGCTATTTCATGGGGATCAATCTTCCACAGTAACCCCTCGATTTCTTGTTCAATCTTCCACTTGCGGTATATGCTGATGGTGACAACCAGAGCACAGAAAAGCGTAACTGCCAATGTGCCAGCTACCACTAGTGAAGTAATTTGGGAATCGTCTTTGGGACATTTCTCATTGAGGAAGCCACAGGACGGTTCATCTTCAGGTTTAACATTGTCCGGCCAGTCAATTTGTAGCCGCGGATACAATTTATATTCCTAAAACATGATGCAAACGCATTTTATTTACAACCAATTCCTAAATCATAACTGTAAATAACCATAACTATAAACGTCGATACATATTTCTCTATAAGAGAAGGAAAATACATATTTATTTTCAAAATAACAAAAATATAAAAGAATCGGGAGTAAAAAAAAAAATAAAGCAATAATTTATTCTATATCTAAAGTTTCGTGTATTACATGTATGTATTCATTGATGTATTACAAGTCTATGGTACAAATAACTTATGACTAATTACCGTTACATATATTCTGTATGTTTTAATGCACATAACTTACGGGGAATTGTCGGGAGCTCTGCTGGAAGTGGCCAACGGGTATCATGGTGTGCGAACAGTTCATGTCTCCGTCGCTAAAATTCGTCGGTTTGAAAGCCAATACTGAAAAATTTCCCTCAGAGTCGGCACGCTCGTCTAGCCGAATCGACATACCAGACACACCTAGGACAAATAACATTCATAAATTTAATATAATTAAAAAAAAATATAATTATATATAACTAATTTAAATATATATTAATTTATAAATAAAGCTAAATAATTTATAATGTAAAAAATAGTGATAAAACTATCTGAATAAAAGCTATTTTAAATGCTATAAGAAAATAAATTGTCCCATTAAATCAAAGGACGATCTTATCGAGCCAATCTATTGAGACAAATTTTTCCAGCATCTTCTTTTTCAAATATAAACAGTCCAACCATCTACCTATCCTTCTGTCCATCTGAACTAACGTTTAGACGACATGAATACGATATGGGTGATAGTAGACATCATTTGAATTTTAACTTATATTTACATTCTATTCTACTAAATCCTATTTTGCAACTTACTTTTAAATGGAGTGCTCTCGATCATTTTAGCAACTATACGAGATCCATTTGTGGCAATACTTAATAACTTTGAATATGTCAGCTCATCTTTCTTGGTGTCCTCCCTTATCAACTTGTCTAAAGCCGTCGCATACAATTTCACAGAATCGTACAAATAAGCAGCATAAATGGACACAAACTGTAAAATTACAATAAATGTATTGTTTTAGAAATATAAGAAGCAAATCAACAGATATTATGAAATATTATTTATCAACTTTCAAAACTATATAACATAAATTTTTGTAACATTATTATAATGCTAAATATAGTCACGGTTGAAAAATAAAAACACTAAACTAAATTAATTTAAAAATTATAACTTAATAATCTTTTTAAGTTTTTAAAACGTATCCATTTTTTTTAAAAATAGTAATGGAGTACCTTATTAAATTTATTCTCAAACACAGCAGGCAGCGGAAACTTGAACGGTTTGAGGGTGTTGTAAAGGCGAACTTTGGCTGTAAACTGTTCATAGCTTCCGGAGGGCTCCGACGAGACCACCACCAGTAGCGACTGCGACCGCTTGCGAAACTCGTTCGTGTCCGGACACACCATTTTCAATGCACCACGATCTTCAGTTTCTACGACCAATATATACGTTTAAAAGAGAAATACACTAATTTAGGAATAGGTAATAAAGATATTAAAGAAGATGACCAAAGAAAAATGGATGTACTGTATGGTATGCATAAAAAAAACAGTAAACTGAGGTATAACGATAGATAGGGATCAGTACAAGAGTAAGATATACTATGCCGTCGACAAATGGATAAGGCAAGACAGTAATGAAGAATAAAGATATGGGTACAGACAAAAAATAGTTTTACAACTCTGTAATGCTTTTATATCATAAATACCAACGTTAAATTGTATATTTATTAAAGTTTTCAACAAAATCATAGAAGGATAAAATTATTATAATAAAAGCACTATCTTTTAGGAAGTTTGAAGAAAAGGAAGGCGTAGAATATTCAGCAACATAAATACAGTCTTGTGTAACTATAATCAGTTACGCCTTAGAAATACTAACTTATTAAATATTTCAGTGAATCCTTAGGTGAATATGTCATCATATCAACAAATATGACCATGTACTCTCCATTCACAAACAACTGCAATGACTCCATGGCCGTCATCATGTCAATGAGACCCGACGTCGATCCCAGGAACACGTAAACTAAAAGAAAAATACTCTAATTACAAACTATTAATATACATATACAAACACACAACCCAAATATGTTTATTTAAGCATCATCGTCACATCAGCATTTAACTGTCCACTGCTGAACATAATCCTTCCCTTGGGTGATTTTGCCAGTAGTTACCACGCTTGGCAGGCGAATTGGCAACCGCAGTTAGGCTTTAAAGATGATTTGAGAGGGACTCTGATGCCCATCTCTCTCCTCCCTTAGTCGCCTTTTACTACCCCCACGGGAAAGAAAGGAATGGCCTATTCCATGCCAGGACCAAACGGCCATATTTAAACATAAAAATAGTAAACACATTAGTAGAGTATAGGACATTATTCAAATAAATATGTAAACCCCATAAATAACATATAAACATTAGAATTATACCCAAAAAAAATTATGCAGCTTCGACCGTGCCAGAAATATTACCTCTCATTCTCATGAGAACTAATGAGTGTTACATAATAACTCTTAAGCAATGAGAGGAGGTTTTCCGTACTGAGGTGGTATTTCTTCCTTTTATTTTACGTATATGTAAAGTTCACTGCTGATTCCAGATTACCGCTATTAAAATCCTTGTTGTATTGTAAAGAAAATACTTACATTATTTCCTAAAATGTAAAATGATACTCACTTCGGGTTCTATTCTTGGTGTCTTGTATAAATTGATACCAAAAGCCGGGTGCACAGCACGTGAGCTTCTCCTCACAGCACTTGAAGCCATCAATGACTGGCCGCTGATGATTTACCGTCATATTGTTCCTCTTCGCGTGGTTCTCTAGAGTAAGCGCGACTGTCACCCATGGCTCTTCGTACAGTATAGAAAATTTGTTCCACCGGTAATAGCGCAACAGCGATATTACTGATTTTGTAGCCTGCAAACGAAAATGTTTGACTTATATTTTTAAACAATTTTATTTATAATTAAATACTTGTGCAATTTACTACATAATTGATATGAAAATATTATTAAAAGCAAGTCCTGCCCGCTTCTAAATTTTTCAATCACTTAATAATTATTATATGTCTTTAATATTATAATAATATTTTTAAGCCGTAAATGATAAAGTTCACGACCCATCTTATGAAATATCGGTAATTGTTACATGTCACATAGAGGAGATTGTTAGTAACAGGGACTAGCGGCCCCATTGTTAACAATGCACTTGGTAAGGTTGACCTCCACGCTAACCTGGAAACCATGGTGGTTATATCTAGGAGAATTCATCACGATAGACCAACATCATTCTCACCTATCATAAATCTCTGATACTCCCGTTCAGTATATACCTATGACTAAATATCAATGATAAAACTCTCACATAATTTAATGCAATAAAAGATGTACAATTTATTAGCGGCGTAATGTAGGTATATAAAGTGGCAATATATTTTTCAGAAATATACCTCCTTATTACTGCATAAAATATATGTAATTAATCTTACAATGAATATGACACAGTCATATAGAATGATGAGTGTAGAATTTTGCATTAACAGACATTGACTAAAGCAAATAATTGATTGTATGAAAAGAAATATAAACTACGAGAGTTAAAAAGTAATTCAGGCTAATAAAATCACAAAGTAAATAAAACCATAACTACCTGTTTTTTTTTCTGTTCGAAGTGCATTTAACACAGATAGCTAACTGAATTTACTTTTGTTCTTGCTGATATAAGAGAAAAAACATATTATGTAACGAGAACATGTACGGTGAAATGACTCACATACTGGTCATTAGTAATTGAGATTATTTGTTCAGCACATTACCTGAGTGTCCGGAGGCTCTAGTCTGGCAAATGTTGACAGCGTTGAAATTTGGTAATCTGAACATTTCTGGAAACATAAAAATAATATACATTAGAGCTTTATGCTTCGCTTGCAAGATTGCTTGTAGATTTACATAATGAGCAATGTACCTGACATTATTCATACATAAATGCCAATGAACAATATTGCTTCCTATAAGAACACCATTTTATTATAAACCTATATGCTCCAAATTTTAGCTTTCTAGACTTAGTAGTTTTGGCTATGCCTTGTTAAATCAGTAAGTACACACGATTTAATGAATATACAATAATATTGCATATTTCACTTTCACTAAAAAACAGTCAACAAAACGACTTTTGAACATTTCAGACAAACTACTTGGTTACAGGAATATTTAATTATTTCTTAATATAACTATTTCTTTGGAAATGACATATACATGGACAACATGCAGACATGGATAACATAACCTACTTAGAATAGGAAACAAGCTGACGACCCATCTGATGGAAAGTTAAACCTATAGACATGGTACACATAAGTACCCCTCATATATTGCCATCCCTAAGAACTATGGCATAAAACTTGCGTATACATTCAGAGAAGATGCTATAACTAATTAATTATAGCCCATTATGGGAAAAAGGACTATTAGTAATGGAATGTATGCTAATAATATAGAGTATATTATAATATCAGGTTTACTTCACTACACACGGTTACCCTTAGAAAACACCGTGATTAATTGTTATAAAATTCATCACGATGGGCTAACTCACCTGCTTTCATCCTCACCTATCATACACCACTGATGCTCCGCCAGTGTATACCGATAGCGCGTTTTATTGTCCACGCTCTGAAATCTCAAATGGGATCCGTAGGCGATTAACGGCTCCGGTGAAGCACACATCGATGGCAGAGCGGCTCCATCTCTGTCCTACCAGCGATAGTAAACGCCTACCTGACCATTTACTGAGGTCATTATTCGTCGCCCGTACACCTAACTTTGTACGACCCCCGTGCAAAGTCGATGGCTTTAATAAAATATTTAACAATATCTTACATAAGAAATCATCGGCAGGTTGCGAGACTTAGCAATGATGGCCTCAGTGTTGCAGCGTCCTTCGGGACCGAAAAACGCAACGACGCCCGAGCAGCTCATATCGGTGAGCAGTCGCGTCGCAGTAATCGTATCGAACTTTGTGTCGTTCCATTGCAACAAGAGCTGGACATCTGGAAGTATGTCTGTACTGTTGTTGATCTGAAAGTAAACAGTAAAATAAATCATTATATGGATATCAAAACATGTTAAAATGACTTCAATTTAGTATGAAATATTTTAATATGATTGTCTTAACATTTGTATATTTTCTTTATAGATATTTTATACCATACCTTCTTGGAAAGCGGCTAATTTTTTATTCTAATACAAAAAAGAAGTTATGTTTTCGCCAAACAATTTTGAATGAAAATCCATTATCGACTTGTTATATTTTAATTTCTGAATTTGTTGCATAAGCAACTTGTTAAGTAATGAAATTGAATTTAAGTAAACAACTATTTATAAAGTGAACTAGCAGAAAAAATATAGATAATTAATAATCTCCTGTCCGATAAAACAAAATATATAAAAAAAATATTGACTTCATGAATTGTAACAACTTTATACAATAAAGTAAGTAAACAAGTTGTGTTCCTCGTAAGCGTGGTAAGGTATAAGACATTTAGAAGAGTGCACTTATCAACTCGTGTAATTTGAAGCTATACTATAAATATTCAAAGAAATAGATCAATAATATAGTGAAACCTCCTTTATTATTACAAAACTGCTTCTCGTATTCATCATCATCATATCAGCCTTTAACTGTCCACTGCTGAACATAAGCCTCCGCCTTAGGTGATTTTACCAGTAGTTGCCACGCTTGGCAGGCGGATTGGCAACCGCAGTCAAGCTTTAGAGATGTTTTAAAAGGGACGCTGCTTCCTTATTCTGACGGTCTCTTTCTATCCCGTGGGTGTTGTAAGACCCCAAAGGCCTATTTCAAGAAGGCCTATTCTATGCCGGCACCACACGGCCAAGGCTTCTTGTACTGCCTGCAAATATTATCTCCGCATAAAGGAATAGCAACACCTCAAAATACCTTTAACACTTCAAGATTTGGCATTTGTTACGATGCTAGTTGGTATTTCTTATAAAATTTTACAAAACTATTTTAAATTGTACACAATGAGAATGTGCCCAAAGGCGGCCAGTGTCCGTAAACACGTCGGTCACAAACCCATTTTCTTATTCACACAAAGTTACCATGACAAAACTTAAATATTAGTACCCCGCATACTTCTCATTAAGCACACTCTAATGAAGACGGCCCAACAGCGATAAAGTAATAGGTACTCATAAAGTACACAATTTGCTTACTTATTAATTAAATATGGAACTAGAAATTCGTAGTAATTAAATCATTTTGTTAACAGGACAACATATTTTTCTCCGTACAGGTACGTAGAAGTTTAACTAGGTAAGCCAACATAGGTAAGTGGTGCGTCACTTATTTTGCACATGATTATCTTAAAATAACTAATTATTCATGATAACATTTCATATTGTAGTATTAATTAAGTTTAAAGATATAGCCTTTAATGTTTAACAGTAAACGTTATATTTCATCATCATCATATCAGCCTGCTGAACCACTGATGAACATAACCTTTCCCTTGTGGGGTTTTGCTGCAATTGCTACGTTTGACAGGCGGATAGGCAAGTTTAAAATTTTTTAAGTGGAACGCTGCTGTCCATTACTCGCCTTCCCTTAGTCTTCTCTTACGACACACACGGAATAGGAAGGAGTGGTCTATTCTATGCCGGGACCACACGAACAATTCGTGGTCATGATAACTGTTGACAACATACCATACGTATATTACAATTCGACATACATATTATTATATGAGTAAAACTAAGAATACCTTAACAATTTCGGTATAGTATTGTACACTTAAACTGTAAACCGTAATCGCGTAAATTATTATAAAAAATACCTATTAATATTAAAAATATATCGTAATTTAGAACATTAAGAACTCTTCGACATGATGCCTATAGCTGCCTTTCACTATCGCACCGGTCGCCATCGGCAGGGAATCCATCCTCACACCCTAGAACCCGAATGGTCACCACGCACAGTGCGGTTTCAAAGGAGCTACTTGCTCCGATCACTTAGGTTGTAGAACGATCCTCCCGCAGAAGTTTTCCCTAGAGACAACTGCATGAGGTTCTTCAAAAAGGGCGTATTAAGGTTTTCAGACATTACACGTTTAATGTCAGGCGTCCATAGACTACGGTAACCCCAGAATGCACGTAACATTCCATGACATTGTCGTAAAAAGTATCCTATGAGATAACGTAGTATATGAGATTTAATTTAAATCCGTCAAGCTTTTTAACAGTAAATGCGAAACAAATACATTCTCTAACTGTCACATTTATATCTAATATTTGTAGGAATAGCGTTTAGTACCTAAGTCTACCCCTATGACCTCTTCCATCAGAGGCATTGAATGCATGCCGTAACAGGGACCTATTATAATTTTAAATTATATGCTACTAACCTCCTCGAGGGCCATAGACAATGCTCCGGAGATAGCGAGACCCTGCCTGTCCCGCAGCTCGCCTTTTATCGACGGCAGGTACCCGATAGTGATGTTGAACTTCTTGGTGGCATGCGAAGGCCCGGCCAGTAGGCCCAGCGCCGCGAGTATGAGCACCCGGGCGCCGCCCCACATGCCGCCGCCTTCACCGTAGCACCCTCACCTGATGAAGAAACAAAATAAAATATACTATACTAACAATACATACAACGTTGTTGTACGATACATACATAAGTACGTAATTTATTGTGATTGATGTAATGTAAATTTGTGATGATCCTTGACGGTCAAAATAAATTTTTTATAATATTTTTATATTTGTACTTTCCCTCTGTAAAGCAAGTAAGAACATGTTCTCCGTTGACAAAATATCCGTCATCTACGTGGGCCCGTACACCCACATAGTACTTTTCTTCTTCTTCTAACATTGATCCTACATATAATACTTGATAATATAATAAGCTTTTTTATACATAAATCTAAACAATATGAGGACAGCATATCATCGTTATTTTCTAAACATTCTAAAGATTATACTTCGTTATCATACAATTTTATTTTGTTGTTTGTGTGAACTCAGAAATTCTTACACTATCAGAAAGTTACACTATGCCTTATAATATAGAACCTCAAGAACTTTAATTTCAAGAGATCAAGTATTTTGAGATTATAATTAAATAATTAAAGTTTTGATTCGAAAGGAAATTTTTGGTAGATTTTTCCCGTTATAGTATACAGGTTCTTATTCTCATAACAATTCACATGATAGCCTAATCAAAAAAGAGTCATAGGAAGGAAAAGTATTGTCAGTAATGGAGTCTAACAACCCCATTGCTAGCAATCTACCCCTCCCCCTCCCACCTAAAAATCATTGTAGTTAATTATTGCTGAATACGTTACGATAGGCTAACTGCCCCGCTTTTATCATCCTTTCCTATCATCGCTAACTGGTGCCAGCCAGCGTATACCAATAACACAAACGGGCTTACCATTCCATTATCAAAAAAAAAAACCCTAAAAAGAGCTGAAGTTTATTCGAGTGAGTTGTAAAAGTCTAAATACGAAAACTGTTCAAAAGTTTATTGGAAAATTGCTCAGTTTTATGAATACTTATGTATATACATGTTTTAGTTACTTTGTTATACCATTTACGACTAATTTGTATTCCATAACCGTTACAATCAAACTTGTTTAGCAGTATTTATTAGATACGTATGATTACAATTACAATAAGCAAATATAAAGGTGTGATCTGTGACTTGAGTACATACCTATCTACGACAATCGTATCATTGCATTGTTAGGTAACATGCATAGTGCAATTATTACAAATAAATGATAAAATATGGAAAATTCTATTGTTGATGCAATAAAATAATTTTATATAGCGGTCACGTCTCATCAGGCATTGTAAATTGTTTGGGGGAAAGAAGGGTTAACAGGAAAGTTAGGTTAAAAAAAAATTGGTTTTATTCAATCTTATTAGATCTATATTTAGATGAACCCCAATCCGAAATTTCTAAACATCTCTATAAATAATTGATACTTACTAATTTCTCCCTTTCCGTAAGTAGGTAAAATAGATAAAGTCTTATCTGAGAGATCAGTTCAGGGTACGATAGGATTGACATACCTGAAGAAGGTAAAAGCCCTTAAAAATAAAATACAATAAACGTAGAATAATATACTTTATAATCTGAGATAAATACTATTGTATTAGTGCTGTTGGAAAAAGAAAAACTATAACCCCTTACAGAAGTAGACACAATTTGGTCTCCTTATAAATAAAGAGTTTATTCAACAAAAAACAGAAACCTCAAATTGTGACAATAGTTTTATAGATCTAACATTAAAATAAACACCATTGAATGCAAAAAATATCAAAATAGTTTAGAACTGCCGAAAATATCGCGTACATATTGAAAACCTCACTTTGCAACACAATGCATAGTATAGGTAAGTAACAAGTAGATTCTGCTCAACAAATTAAAAAAACATGACTTCCCAGCCAAAAAAATATTAAATGTCACTCGAGAGGATGATTCTAACAATATGTTTAAGCATTTAGAAGTTATGGGGGAATAAACAAACTAACAAACGTACATGAACTGTGAAAAAAAATCCATTGTGCAATCGTGAAAAACCTACAGTACTACGTGATACTATTAGGTCCTTACATATGAAATTGGTGTTTTGTACGGAAGGAATATAAAGTGTTTTTTTTTTAATATATTTAATTAATCAAAGTATGCACCGTTGTTATCTACGCACTTTTGCCATCTCATAGGTAGTTCATTGATCCCTTTACTACAAAAACTATAAGGGAGAGAATGAATAAACTCTTTAAAGGTGGTTTGGACTGCCACATCGAAGTTGAATTTTTTTTTTCCTTGTAAGAATTTGTCCTAATTCCGGAAAACATGGTAATCTGTTAAAGCAAGGTCCGAGGAGTACGGTGGATGTCACAGACTTTCCAATTGTAGCTCATCTAACTTAGTATTTGTTTGTTGTGCAGTGTATGGTCTTGCATTGTCGTGAAGCAGCAGTGGCTTAAAGCGATTGACCAATCTCGATTGTTTAGCAGCTAGTTCTTCCTTCAAGATTTGCAGTTGCTGACAATAGATATCTGCCGTAATCGTTTGGCCAGATTTTAGAAAGCTATAGTGAACGACACCGGCGTTAGTCCATCAAACACTTACAAGTAACTTTTTCTGAGTCAATTTTCGTTTAGGGTTGGATTTGGCTGGGTATCCAGGATTCAGGTATTGCGATGAGCGCTTCCGATTATCGTACAGTATCCACTTTTCATTACAAGTAATGATTCGATTTAAAATCCCTTCATTATTGTGTCGGTTGAGCAAAGTAACACAGCAGTCGACGCGTGTTTGCAAGCTCGATTCACTCAATTCATGAGATACTCATTGTTTAAGTTTTTATTACTTTCCCATATTTGATTCAAGCGGATTATTACAGTTTTATCACTTACCCCGAAGCCTGCAGCTATCTCTGAAGTGTTTTGTGATTGCTCCGCTTCCACATTAGCCTTTAATTCTTCATTTTCCACGTTGGAATTTCGCCGTACACATCATTAATCCTTCTAGTTGTTTCTGCAGCACTGATGCCACGGTAGAACTCGTACTCGTAAAGATACGCCAAAGAAAAAAATAATGAAGAAAAACAAATGATTAACTGTTTTCAAAACTCCAATTTACCAGCTAAATGAATTTATAAATTTGGAATTCTTAACCAAAAAGGAGATATTTCAGATCAAAGTGGTTAGTACGACAAAACGCTAATTTTAAATCTAAAATAATTCAAAAGCCGATCTCCTCATTATGTCTTTCAAACATTTTAGATAAGAATCGTGAAAAACTATACATTTTTCAGTACAAGTCATTGTCCTATTACGATATAAGGATGATCGGTTGATAACAGCAATTGTTGATAATATATACATTGATGACAACACACCATTATAAGATATACATTTTATTCACTTTATTCACTTATTTTGAATGAGTAGTAGGTGCATACAACCTGCAGCAATCGTTCATTGGCATATTTAAGATTATTTTCTAAAAGAGGGCGGAGGGTGCCGTTAGAAATATTGTATGTACATATGAAGACATTATACTATGCACAACAAATCGAATATTCATAAAAACAATATAGATAAAACAGATACTCTTTATTGTTTCTTCTAAAAGATTAGTAAACTTATTATAACTACAATGGTCGGCATTATGGAACCAATATATGGGTAAACCCTATCTACGAACCAACTGAGAATCTCCTACTAGAAATAAAAAATCGAGAACACAACAGAAATTAGCGTAAAGGTTGAATGTTACAATACAATGTGAACTGGTAATTAAAATATACTTTTTGATATACGAGTACTTCTGCGGTTACCATTTAAAGGTTCATTTTCATAATGAAAACATTTTGATTTGTCTGAGTAAATAGTTTGTTAACAAGTGTTAAAAAGGCGATTGTTAATAACGGGGATTAATAACCCCATTACTAGCATAACATTTTGTCTGGTTAAATTTTATACGATTTTCCCTGGAAAGCATTGAGAGTTTTTTTAATGGGTGATTATGGAATGGAAAGCAGGTCAGTTAGCCCATAGTTACGAATTCCACTTAAATTAACCACGATGGTTTCCAAGGGGAACCGCATGGAGGTCGACATTATAGGGTGTATTGCTATCAATAGGTCAATTAGACCCCATTACTAACAATTCCTTTCCCCCTAGCATTACGCGTTAAATACTGATGTTAATGATACTGAATTTGTCAAGATGGCCGAATAAATCAGGTTCATTTCATACTCACCTATCATCCATCACTAATAGCACAGGGGAGGTTACCATCCCTTTTTCATCCATTAGAAAATGTTCTTTGATAAAGAGGGTCTGATAATAAAGCTGGAAGATAATAACAATATGTATGTAGAACAAAGCAATTTTTTTGTTTCAAATAAATATTATTTATTCTATAGCATGCTTCTTTAAATTTTATAACATCGAAACTACAACCTAAAACTTGTATTAACATAATAAATCTAAAAATGTTGTAAAACTAAATACATAGAGAATATATTGCTTATTAGGTGTTATAAGTAGAATGAAAAGTACGGAGATTGCCTACCTATCTAGTTAGGCAGCGCCAACTGGTTGAGCCGGCTAGTGTGTTTACTTACCTAGACGAATACTGAAGAAGGTCGACTTAGTACATACAACCTAAATATTACATTCCAGTAATACACGACGAATTTGCATAGCGTTTACACCGTATTGACATTAAAAAAATTATCTTAAGCTGTCTGATAATTATTTGTAAAAATTAATGTTGGTACAATCAACATTATCATGATCAAAACTACGGGATCAAATAATTAGTTATCTGATAGAAAAAAAATATATCAAACAGTGGGAGTGGAACTTGTTCATTGGTACATTGAATATAACTAAACCAGATTATTAGTAACTTACATTACAGTTAGGTAGTAAAGAATGCCATACTTACAGCCTTAAGTATTGCCTTTTTGTAGAATTAAAAAAAAAGTACATATAATTTTACATAAAGTATTTTTGTATACATATATAAGAAAAAAAAACTGATGAAGTATCATCATTTCATCCACAGACTCCCTGCAATG